ATGAACTTTTGAGAGTATTATGCTAAGTAAAATTAGTCAGATGGAAAAGGACAAGAACCATATGATTGCGCTCATATGTGGAATATAAAACAAAAAGCAACAAATAAAACAAACAAACAAAAAAGCTCATAGATACAGACAACAGAATGGTGGTTACCAGAAGGAAGAGGGGTGGTAGAAGGACGAAGAAGGGGTCAAATACAAGGTGATGGAAGGAAACTACAATAGGCTTCGGGTGGTGAGCATATAATACACAGATGTTGTTTTATAAAGTTGTGCACCCAAAATTTATACAATGTTATTAACCAATGTTATCCCAATAAATTTAATAATAAAAAACCCTCACACAAAAAATTAGTGGAGCTTTATCAATAATCTCTATATAGTATCTTAATGGATAATTAAGACATTTGCACACAAAACCACAGGCATAAAACGGAGAGAAATGAAGTAAGCCTTATGTAATAAGACAGAATTTGCTGAACAGGATGAAATACACAATGAACACCAGGCAAAACTTCATCATGAGTGAATGTTAGTACCAGACCATGGAGTGGAGCATGATGTCCAAAGGGAAAAAAGGATTCCTATACAGAAATTCCTACAAATAAACTAAGTGAAGGAAAAGCTCTAGTCTTAATCCTTTAGAAAAGGATGGCTGATTTTTATACATTTTCAGTATCTGAAACACACAAGTATACATGGGATAACCCTAATAGCTAATAAACTGATTTAGTTTTTTAGAAACTGATTTAGTTAATAGAATCAACAGTGATTGTTGCCTTCAGCTTTGCTGCAACACTATTATATATATATTTTTTCTATACTTATACTACTACTGGACTTCCCCCGCTCTTAGAAAATAGAACACCACATGTCAAAGGAAAACACCAATTGGGGACTTTCATTCAATAGATAGCACGTGAGGCCTACTAAAAACCCTATTTATACAGGGAGTATAAATGTGCTTCCAGTATGAAGATTATTATTAGCTTGTGTTTAGATAAGTATAAAGGAACTGTTCAAGATCACACACCTGGAAATAACTAGGAATAAAAATTGTCAATTTTCTTGTTTAAATTTCTATGTACTTTCAAATGACAAGAGGTAGCCATATTTAATGCCAGTTTCCAGAATGTGATAGTCATGAATTAAAGCTAATGAATAAATAATAAACTTTCTAGAGCAAATACCCAGAGGCTGAGCCTCACCTGCATGTGAGTGGGATATGAGCTACCAGGAGCCTGAGCAGAAGGTGTAGGTGGCGAAGCAGCGGCAGCAGGGGTTGGTGCTGGGGCTGCTTGTGGGGTAGGTGCTGCCGAGGAATCCAATGTATAATTTTTAAAGGCCTCAATATCCTCAGGTCTAAGGAAGAGAAAGAATGCATAAGTACAAGGGGGTTTATAAAGCAGATTTAGCTCCTACAGAAGTAGTCTTAGGAGCCTTTAACTCCTAATTACTCAATTCTGGAGTTTTTCAAACTTTTCAAAATCACCTAAGTTTCAAAAATTACCAGGGTACTACTCACTTTTCAACTGTGATACAGATGACTGATCCAACCGGAACATCTCTGGTACCTTCAGCAACGAGTATCTTCGCCATGTAACACTCTTCCGAGCTCTCAAATCCAACAGTGGCTTTATCAGTTTCAACCTTTTAACACAAAAGTAGGCACTTAGCCTTGTGCTGCCAGTATGAAGATTATTATTAGCTTGTGTTTAGAATCATACCGTTCCATGAAGATAAAGCCTCTATCACAGATATGAAAGAAGGAATTATTTTTTAAAATCTTAGCTAAAAATCAGTTTGGCTAGCTGCTGACAACTTATCTAACCAAACTTTTCTAATATCAAGTTGTAAAAAAACATCTAAGTTTCTCAAGCAAAAGGGATAACTACCCACCCAGAAAGTTAATGCTCAGTTGGTGCAACTAAACCAGTCCCTTCTAACTCATTTCCATATTTTAAAACAACTTACCTCTGCAATTAGTTCACCCTCATTGATTTTTTCCCCTTCCTTTTTTTCCCAACGGGCTATGGTGCCTGCCTGCATCGTAGGGGAAAGAGAGGGCAACGGAACCTGGGGGAGAAAAGGGAGAAACACTAAATTTTAAAAGAGCTACTTCCTTCTCAGTCTGGTTTAATGTGTCATTCAATGCAATTTAATTTAATGCAACGAGTTTGAGTTCCATCACGTGCTAGGCCCTGGGGATATAAAATCAGTTCCTGCCACCAGCTCACCACTGACAGGTTTCCTGCTCCACAGTCCTGTGAGTCTGACAGAGCACGTACCTTGGCAGACATGCACACACAGCCCCAGGTTTGGAGTTCTTTCAATGGAATAGATCAGGAAACGGAAGCTCAAGAGCTACAGCAAAGCTGGATATTAGAGAAGGGACAATGACATATACTGGGAGGGGTTGGGGGATTACTTGAGGCCTCTGGGGGAAGATCCCAAGCCAAGAAGTCGGCCCTGAAGGACAACGGGGTCCTGCGAAGGACAGGGCTGGGCTTACCTTCTGATGAGGGGGGAGACTATAACAACGACGGCCAGGCGATGCCAAAAGCTGCAGCAGGAAGCGATTCCGCTGTATGGCCCACGAGTTGGGGCGCCAGCCGCAGAATGCCCGGACTCTTCCATACCCGGTGGTCGCGCTGTTGCAACGAGTCGGGGCAGGACCAACCCGCGGGGTCACGCACGGAGCTCCGCGTTCCTCCCGTACGGCCGTCCACCGGGACCGGAATCCTGACCTGGGGGCCGCATTCTGGGCCCGTCGCGCACAGACGCGCCACATAGTGCCAACGACCCCCACACCCCAAAACCAACGCCGTCTCCGGAGTGACCTCTCCAAGAGCAGTGCGGCGTTGCCGTCAGCCACGCCGCGCAGCCGCACGTTGTCGTAAAACGGACTCCAAAGAGTTACCCCACCCCCTCTCCAAACCAGAAATGTTTGGGACAGACGTTCTTCTATTGAGTAGGGGGAAAGGGTGGCCCAAAGCAGGTAGGGGCGGCTACTTTGGAGCCACGTGGGTAGGGACATTAGCAGGCGCAAGTTTGGGAGAAATAAGACGTTGAGCGGAGGGGAAAGCGGTAGGGTCCTAGGAGAGGCATCTCAGCGTAGGACGGGGCCCTAGAGAGGTGAAGGGCACGGCCGAAAGGGCGGGGCCTGAAAAGGCGGTGCGAGCCGGGCTAACCCGCAAAATGGTCTGAGAAGGTGGGAGGGACGTGGTCAAGTTTTTAAAAGTTGGGACGAGAGCTTTAGGACTGAGAGCCTTAGACCAAAGGGCGGGGTTTGGAGCGCTCCTGAGAGAGAAGAGCGAGGAACCGCCGGAGGTTGTAGTCCAGAGCGTTCTCTGGTGGTGTGCTTCTGCTGGCCCAACGGTGAGGCCTCGTTCCGTACGGGTTGTATTGGGTTACAAAGATGTAATTTCAGGTTTGCTGTCCAACCGAAAACCAGAGTGAGCAGGTTCTTGCAGCCAAATGGTGTGAAGGGCAGCTAAGTACATTCCAATATTCAGGTGTACTGTAAGCAGGATTTGAACAATTCCTTGTATGAAGGAATACAGGTTTACAAAACAAATTTGCATTTCTAATTTACCATAAAATCCCTTTAAATCGCAGAAAGCTTTGTTATGCTTGAAATATATCATACTAAAACTAAAGTATAAGCCCATGGTGCAGGAAGTATGTCTAATCTATATTGTTTTTCGATGTCTCCCCAGGGTTTAGTATCTGGGAAATAGTGGAGGCTGAATGCATGTCTTTCAAATTAATGAACAAAATGTTACCTTCATTTGTTAGGTACACTTTACCGTAGGGATATATATCATCCTATAATTAGAAAATATCTCATTTCTGAGTTGAGGATGACAGATTAGCAGGAAGCAAGTACTGTATTACTGTCTCTAAGTCCCCAGTGTACAGTTGTTCAGAGAAGGCCGAGAACACAACAAATAGGAAAATGCAACATTGGAAAACATGTCAACCTTCCTAGTAATTAAACGTTTGGAAATTAAAACAGCCAGGAGGTTCTGTGTCACACCTACTTAAATTAGAAATTTTAAAAAGTCTAAAAACCCAGTATTAATGAGATTGCAGAGAAAGATGCACTCGTTGAGGGTACTAAATATTGGTTGTTTTAGAGATGGCAATATAGTAAGAAACAGCAATAAGGAGAAAAAAATGTTCACATTTCCCCCCAAAAGATTAAGCAGGCACAGCTGACTAACAGAATAAAATGCAAGCAATACAATTGAGAAATATAAAATTTCCAAATTAAATGGAAAGGCACATTTCAAATAATATTTAGAGCAATCATTGTTAAATTATGTAAAACTACTTACAAATAACAATTGGAAGAATCAATGGAAAAATAATTGTGATTAGTGAAAGGGCTTATACTATAACTTTATAAATTACTATTAAAATGTAACGATTTTGAATTGGCAAAAATAATTTAAGACTTCTACTGCATTTGAATTTAATAACTGTACCTAAGTTAGCCTTTGTACGAGATGATCTTCAGTTTGCCATTCACTTAAGTAGGCTCGCTTAAACCTCATTTGGCGTTTTTTAGTACATAGCAAGTTTGTATTTTGAATATACTTTTGACAAGTGTAGTTAAGTCATCGGAGGGTAGAGATCAAACAGTCCAGAGAGTAAGTTGACCCCAGAAGTAGGCTTGCAATTCTTAGGTTTGTCAAATCGGTCTTGAGAAAATAGGCCTGAATATCTCTAAACAGATTGGATGAAGGAATTGAACGAAAAGGAAGTCTCAAAACTAAGGTTTACACTCTCGAGTTCTTATTTGTTTGTATATTTATATATAATTTCAAAAGAAATCCCAAATCAATGAATTTATCTTTGATAATAATAACCTGTTTTGTGCTTACATTAGAAATACCAATAGTAAAATATATGTAGCAATAAAGTAGTCCTTATCTCCACTCCCCAAGTAATGAGTAAACATGCTACCAGGGAGATCACTTGAGGAAATGTACTTTCACTAAATGTAAATTGCTTTATTGATTAATTTCAGTCGATAAATGCAAGTGAAAATGATTAATAGTATTTAGTTTGCAAACTCCATTTTATTCATAGTTTGTTTTTTTAATTCACAAATCTGGTATATACAGGCATTTAAAACTGGTTATCATTTTGATAATCAGAAGCCACTGGTATAACACAGTCTTCATGAAAACATATTGTAAAACGGGGAGAATACACAGTAATAATCTCTTTGAAAGCAATTGTTGCAGTCATCCATGTTTCTAAGAAAATATAACTTTACATATATATTTTAAGCAAGCTATACCTCTTACATAAATTCAGACAATAGGAGTGTGCAATCATAACACTTATTTTATGTAAAAAAATGAAAATGATTATAATTATGGCCTAAATGCTTTAAGTAATTAGAGTCCTCTTGGAACGAAGTGAAGCATAAAGATATTTTCCCTAATTTACAACCATCTTGGTCAAAAAGAGCTGAAAAGTTAGTAAGTAGGACTGCCATTTCCAAGTAAGTTTAACCTAAATTCTTTAGGTATAAATTGTAAAGTGTTCCAATTCCAGATAATTTAGAGAACTGAGTAAGAATAGTCTTCAATTCTTAAATGAAGACTTTTTAAGGAATTGAGCTTTCTACTAAACTAGTTTTTACAAGAGGGTCTTTTTTTAATCTATCAGGGTTTTAGAGATTAATTTAGAACTCTAAACATTCTAATTCCTTAGTTTTCTCAAAGAAATAGAATGTTAGCAGTGGCAGGATGGACTGTCCCACACAAATGCCACTACGTGACAATACTCTGAATAAGTCAAGAGGCATCCTAGAGTGCAGCCACAGTATATCAAATAGGAGACTATCCAAGCCAGAATGAATCAAGGCCCACTTCTCCTCAGAGTGTTCCTGTCTTTAGAAACTAGAGTGAGGATTAGCAACACATTTTACACAAGAATTACTGGAGTGACATCCTGTAATGGTGTTTAGTTATTACCTGTGGCATATGAGATCAATGAGCTAAAAGGGGAAAATTATCTCATTTTCTCCCCTGCACTCAACTTCAGCTTTCTATGGAGGCACTAGGCCATGCAGCTCCTTTTGCAAAGGACATAGAGAGATAAAAGACAAATAAGTTAGAGGACTTTCTCTGATTTAATTTTCTCTGAACAGGTGAATTTTACATAATGGTAAGAATGTTTACTGAAAGAAAACTGACAAGTAAAAACTGATTTAAGATACAGACATTCAAGATAAATTGTAATGGAAATACAATAATGAATTTTGGCCTGTTAACCCTCATGCTGTCTTATAGCAAAACACTAAAATTCATGCAACAGAGAAGGTGGACTTTTTCTCCAGACTTTCTGGGAAAAAGAAACGGAGAATATACTGTTTTCTTCTGTTTGCTTTCATAATGAATTATTCTTGCTTTAGACTGACTTTCCCAAACTTTTGCAGTCATTTCTTATGAGAAATCATTCTTCAATAGAAAAAGACCAGGTAAACTTAAGTGAAAGACAGCAGGTGTCTTTTGAGCTCCTTCTGCCTGCTAGAGGAGCAATCAAATTGATTACGTAAAATACTTCCACAACTACAATGGCAGGTAGAATTGGAACAGGAGTTATCTTTTGTATGCTTGTAATAAAATAAAGCTTACTCTGAAACCACAAGGGCTGATAAGAAGAGAATAGCCTGTATAAAAGCTACTGGGTTCTCTAGAAAATGGATACATCATACAGAATGTGAGAATATACAGAACTCACACTCAAGTTATAAAAATAGACATGGTTCTCAGACAAAAAAGCAAATGAGTACAAAAGAATTCTCCAAACATGAACAATTTTAAAAAGACACATTTATATAAAACAACAAAATGTCATCTCAGAGCTTGAACGAGTAGTCTGTTGAAATGGCTGAAACGTGAAGACGAGCTAAAGACAGGTCAAGAACCCAGAAATGATCTGTCCTACTCTTCTGGTTGGCAGTGTACATTGTTTGGTCACAGGCAGACTGCTTTTGGGGTGCAAAACCTCTCTCTGTATGTAAAATGGCTAACTGGTTGATCATGTTTGGTGAATGAATAAGAAAACCCAAGTTATTAAGTAATCTCTAGAAACTTAACTATTTTCTTTTAGTTTCTACACTTGACAATGTGGCACATGAGGAAGGATTCTAGGTTTTTTCACCCAGAGTCAACCCTGCCATTTATAACTCATGCTTCATGCCCCATGGCTTCTATTGTGCCCTAAAGGATCAGCCTAGACTAAATATATAATAGAAATTAACTCTGGCCTTTTAATGAAGAGAGGCCGACCAGTAACTCATGCTTAGTTTTTTATAAATCACAAATACTGAAATTAATAGTCTGTCTCCTTTTGACTCCCAAGGAGATGCCATGAGATAAAGAAAGTCATGGGAGAAAGAAAGTCAAGAAGATATGGGTAGCAGCACCTTTCCATACCCGCCTGGATTTTTAAGGAGACTTTCACTCCTTCTTCCTTTCAAACACAAAGTTCATCAGTTGGAAGGGAAAAAAAAACAACGGCTCTAAAGTTGAAGAGTCCCCAGAGAAAACCAGCAGTACATGAAATATGCCCTCTGTGGGCTAAAGGACAAGTTGCAGAACCAGTTAAGACACAAGAGGCAGCCCAACGTCCTACTTAATTATGGTTTTAGCATAGTATAGCACAATATGGGCAGCCCTTTTTCCATCCAGTCAACAATTCAGCACCATCCATGTCCAGTCCAAAAGATTCCTCAAGAGTGGCTTTCATCTTTGGTACCACCCCATGAGTTATTCTTGGTTTGTAATAGCTACAAAGAAGCAAAACAGCGGGTACCTTTGCCTTGTGTGTGAGTACAAATGCTGGGACTCTTGATTGCTGCAACCATTGAGACCAATTAAAATAACACTGTAACACACAGGAGTGATGCATCCAATCCCCGGGTTCCAAATAATAGCAGCCATGCCCCTACAAGAGCAAGATCATCCATTCCTATTGGTTAAGGCCTTCGGTTTGTTGTCCTCAGAGTAGAATAAAACACTGTGTTCCCACGAACAAGGAACTCCAGATGAACCCATGGTCTACATTTGGACAGGGATTTTAAGTACCACATATGCCAGGCACTGAAACAGGACAGGCCTGTGGCTGTCACACTTGGAGAAGCTTCTGTTTTGGCAGCACAAACTAGAAACTTCTTAGTGTATTCTAGTTTTAGTCCTCTCTTTCCTGAGTGAAGCAGCCAGGGAATGCCAAGTTCCACAAGCCCCAATCTAATACTCAGCATTAATTCTCTCCATGGTCTTCTTCCACCCAGGCTACAATTTTCCCCTCCCATCCAGGGATGGCATCATCATCGTGGAAAACCTAGAGAAAGAAAAAAAAAAAAACAACAATGAAAAAATAACAGTAAGAAGGGAACCCTGGTGCACTGTTGGTGGGACTGCAGACTGGTGCGGCCACTATGGAAATCAGTATGGAGGTATCTCAAAAAACTTGAAAATGGGCTGGCCGAGTGGCTCAGTTGGTTAAGAGCTCGTTCAAGAGTGTGAGCTCTGGGCAACAGCGGTTTGAGTCCCGGCCTGAGCTGAGCTGCCGCGGAGCTACCAACAGGTGGCAGGATGGCTCAGCTAAAAAAAATAAAATAAAATAAAAAATAATAAAAAATTTTTAAAAAGCTGGAAATGGAACTACTTTATGACCCAGCAATTCCACTCTTAGGTATCTATCCAGAGAAACCCAAGACGCTAATTCAAAAAAATATATGCACCCCTATGTTTATTGTGGCACTATTTACAATAGCCAAGACTTGGAAACAACCGAAATGCCCATCAGTAGACAACTGATCAAGAAACTGTGGTACATTTACACAATGGAGTATTACTTAGCTATAAAGAAGAAGGAAATAGTACCATTTGCAATGATATGAATGTACCTAGAGAACATTATGCTAAGTGAAATAAGTCAGTCGGAGAAAGACTAATACCATATGATTTCACTTATATGTGAAATCTAAAGAACTGAATAAATGAGAAATGTATACAGAAATAATCTCAAAGACACAGAGGAAAAACAGGGTTGCTAGTTGGGAGGTGGTGGGGATGAAGGAAAAGGGGAAGGGATGAGACAATACAAATTGGTAACTACAATATGGCCTCAGGGATAGAAAAGACAGTCTGGGGAATATAAGCAATAATGTTGTAAATATTTTTTAGGGGGCCAGATGGACTCATGTCTTGTTAGGGAGACCACTTCATAGACGGTGTAGAGGCCTGACTGCCGCACTGTATATCTGAAGCTGATGTTGAATAATAATATATATCAACTATAATTATATATACATATAGGCATGGGATGTGGAGTACAGTGTGGAAGTGGAGTCAATGGAATTGTAATAGATAATTATGAAATTGGGGGTGGGAGGGCAGTAGATGGGGGAGGGGGAGTTGTTTCTTTTGAGGGGTGAAAAGGATAATTATTGCATTGTTCTGTACACCTGAAACTAATAATAAAAAAAATAAAAAATAACAGTAAGATAGAGTCTCATTAAACAACTGCTGATAAAAAAAATAAGACCACAAACATAAAGAATAAGAAAGTGGAGAGGAAAGCTTTAAGTTTGTCCCTTTGATTTTGTCCCTAAAGTTATAACCCATAAAAAAGAATATATATTCTTAGTTCCACATCTATAAAATGGTAAAAACATCCCTACTACTGCTTTGCTAGTAGAGATTTATAAGAATTAATAAGTTACTAACCATAGAGCACTTCAGGCTTCTCAAGAGAAAGCAATAAATAGTTAAGCATTAAAAAAAAGGATAAACAGGAAAATTTTGGTCCTGGGAATTATAAAGAAAGGGTTAGAAAGACCAATCTTAACATATTTGCATTCAGTTCTCTTCATTCATTCATTCACTAAGCCACTAATAGTACAGGGTTATTAAAATGTTTCAGTGAGGAAATCATTGTAGAAAAAAAGACTGGCTTTCCCAATCCTTTTCATTCTATAACCACAACTTGCAATATGCCATAAACCAGAACTCTCTTGCAAAAAAGTCTGTTTTTTGATAAATGGATTATAAAGAGAAGCATAGGCTAAGAAAATAGTTAATGAGTTAAGAATGAGCACAGATGACTTTCCAGAAGTTCAGCATTTTCATTATCTGAAAAACTACCACCACAATATACAGTTCCATATATTCATGCCTGTTTGGTTTTTTTGCTCTACCTAAGAAGTGGAAAGTTTTCTAAGATTTGGCTACAGATAGAAAAGTGACCCTAAAGCCAAGCTTTCATTCAAGCTTAGGTCCTTTATTTTTCCTAAGAAAACTTTTTCCTTTTTAAAATAAAAATTCTATCCAAGTTTGGTGAAAATGGTTAAGAATTAAAGAAGCAGGGGCAACCCAGTCGGGATCCCCTCTTGTTTTGAGAGCTGTTATTTTCTACTCTAATAAATAGTCCTCTGTTACAAACTTAAAAAAAAAAAAAAAAGCTATCAACTTCTTGGGCCATACCTTGACCTTCTCAGTCTACAGTAATCAGACTGGTCTGAGGCTCTGGGAAATTCCTCTGACCTGGTTAGGGAACTCAGGTACTTCTGGTGCTAGTAGTTAGTAGGAGGCTTTGAGGTTCAGGAGCAACCAATAATACCACCCAGACTCCCCAGAGATTCTGTACCTCCTCTTTGACAGTGCCAAACTCCGGATCCAGCGCTTTGAAATGATAGCGGTGATTCCCTTCCCGGTCAATAGCTGCTTTAAAATCCTTAAGTGTGACCTCCCCCAACCTGTAACAAAATAGACTGTTTATCAATAGGTTGGAAATATAAGGTATTAGCTTTAAACCCATGTCCCTTCCAAAGTCTCTTGAGGGAGAAACAGAATGGCCTTGTTAGGTCTCTGGCCCTGATAACCCAGATGATTCTAAAACAGCAGAGGTGAGGGAGCCAGTCACCATTAGGTATTGAAAATGGCATTGCATATGGGGTGATCTGAGGATTTAAAATAGATTTATTGTTTCAGCAGCAGTCAAATCACTTTTCTCTGAAAATAAAATACAAGGTCTCTGAAATCTAATTTGTTGAAATATCAATATGTTATGTCTAAGCTCTCCTGATTTCCTACTTTGAGACAATATTCCATCTCTAGGTTGGTTGAATTAAATCAGGTAGCACCATTTTTATCCTTCTAGCTTCAGAAAGCTCACCTCTATCCCAGACCAAGTAAGCAGACTGTCTAGGAAAGGGAAATCCTATCATGAACGGACCTCGCATTACGAACATTTGTAGATGCGAACAAATTGTGGAAGAAGCCCATGGGTGTGAGCTCAGTTGTGGGCCAAATTCCATCTTGCCCCCCATCTCCTATGCTGAGGATCCTTCAGCTCCGCCATCTCCCACCTACCCTCCTCCTCCAGTTAGTGACTCTTCTTGTCAGTTCACTCCATGCAGTCCCCTATGTGCCAGTTATTTTACTGTACTGTACTGTACCACCATTTTAAGGTAGCCATAAAAGTAAAAAGTTTATTTATAGTATTTGTGTGTGTGTGTTTAGTCTTTTCATGCTTTACGTTGTATATTTGTGTCCAAGGTGTCAGACTTAAGAACGACTAAGAACAAATCTGACTTACGAATGTTCTGGAACAGAACTCGTTCGTAAGTTGGGGACTTACTGTACTTGGTTCCAGGGCTTAAAAATCTTTATTTCAAAGCCATTTACCTTAGAAGAAAGCACATTAGCTGAATGTTTGAAAGTTTTTTAACATGAATTCAACAGATTAGTTGCAGTCATCAAATAACAAAAATCAATGAGTATCGCCCCATAGCGCTGTGCTGCAATGCATGGCCTATCAGTAAGAGCTCTTTTGAACACTAAAAAAACTATTTTTCCTGACATGCAGCATATTTGCTTGTCAGGATTGGAAGCATTATTATTGTGTCTGTGCCTAGCAGCAAATCGTGACTTATCCCTTGCAATGCCACTGGTAAAGCTAGAACTAGAATCTATCTCCTCTGTTCTTCTCACTACACCATACTTCTCAAATACCTCTCAGCTGATTAGATAGGCAGTAACTAATGATTCTGCCTACCTGTCCTTTTTAAAAGAGAAATAATGATCCTAGAATCTCACCTCTTTGGTATATTGACCATGAAGGGCGTAAGTGACCGGTCAGTAAAATAGAGCACTTTAGTGCAGGCGCTGCTGACAGTTGGAGAGCTCTGTGAGTGAGGCAACTCTGCAATCAGAGAGAGACTTTGTGGTCAGGACATTCAACTTGCTCCCAACCATCCCTCATTTCCAGTTATTCAAAATGTGCCAGGAGAAGAAAGCTGCCTGAGGTCACAGTACAGCTTTCCCATCCTTGTCAAACACAGTATCCCAGAGGGTATATGTAACACACAGGAGGTAGCCCTGGGGTCACAAAGACACGAGGTGCTTTGGATATGGACGCTATCACAAGGACCATCATTTCTTACCCATTCCAGGTATTTCTAGCAGGGAAATAGCAACTGTTCTGACAGGCATTGTTGCTAAGAATCAAAAGAGGTCAGAGAAGCCCAGCAAGATTTCAGCTATGGCAGAATGAATACACAGCAAGAGCTGCAGACACTGCCAATTTTGAAGGGCAGTGGTAGAGAATGCTCATGCAATTCATGAAACGAGAAATGAACAGGAACAAGAACCATGAGCAAAACAACCTTAGAAACTCATATTCTAAGCGGGCCTTATGCTTCCAGTCTAAAAGGTGTTAAGACATACCTTATCCCTTAGCTACGGAGGATCTGTATGTGTTGGTCCCATTGTTTTTAACTCAGGTCTCTTGATCCACATCTTGCCTCTACCCTTTGTATAGGTATTTACAGAAAGTAAGTACCTATATGGTGGCCCAAGCTGACTAATACAAATGTTATGTACACATTTTGGGTGAATGTCAAGGAAAGAATAATTACAATGTCAAATGCCACAAAGCGGTCTAGTAGATATAGATGGGTTTGGTCATCGAGGACATTAGTGAGAATAGTTTCAATTGACTAGTAAAGAAGACTGAGTTGGATTACACAAACTTTTCTAGTGGAAAAGAAAAAGTAACGAGGGAGAACAAGTCCTATGCAACACCAAGTCATGATAAAATGATCAGTTACTTCAGTGAGGCATTATGATAAAAATCATGTACAAAAAACTCAGAAAAGAAATACCTGACAAACATCTTGGTGTACATGAACATTTAACACATGACTTTAAAAGGCATCACAAATCAGTTTTAGCTTTTAAGTCTGGGTTTATGATCATTTGGAGTTAATTTTTGTATATGGTATGCAATATGGGAAAAGCCTATCCTTTTGACACTTTTTTCTGGTTGGATGACCCAAACCTTCATTCCTTTCACCATTAAATAGCCTTTTTACAGTTGTTGAAAATCAACTGGCCAAATATATGTGAGTCTATTTCTGAACTCTGTATTTTGTTCCATTAATCTATGTGTCTATCCATTCACCAATACTGCACTTTTTTTTTTAAAGGTTTTATTGGGTAACTGGGGGAGGGGAACAGCCAAGTTGTTGTCCTTCATTCTTAGTTATGGAGGGCACAGCTAGCTCAGCTCCAAGTCCAATCGCCATCCGGCCACCCGTCGGCAGCTTGCGGCCGCTCAGCTCAATGTGCCATGTTCAATCTTAGTTGCAGGGGGGAGGGGTGCAGCCCCCCATCTCATACGGGAGTCGAACCAGCAACCTTGTTGTTAAGAGCACGTGCGAGTCTCACCAGCTGAGTTATGTTGCCATCTGTTGGCAGCTCAGCTTAGGCACAGCTCACTGGCTCACGTGGGAATCAAACTGGTGACCCTGTTGCTCAGAGCTCGCGCTGTTAGCCAACTAAGCCACTTGGCTAGCCCTGCACTAACTTTTTAGTTAGTTTTGAAATCACACAGTGTGGTCATCGGACTACTTTGTTCATCTTTCTCAACATTTTTCTTTGTTTTTTTTTTGGTTATTCCAGTCTCTTTATTGTTCCATATAAATTTTAGAATCAACTTGTTTATATCTATAAAAAGTCTGGTAGGATTTTTATTGAAATTGCATTGAAGCTATAGATCACTTGGGGAGAATGGACCATCTTAACAACGTTGAGTAGTGCAATTGATAAACATGATCCATCTTCCCAATTCTTCAGCTCTTCTTTGATTTATTTCATCTGTTTTATAGTTTCCAACATAGACACATTGCACATATTTTGTAAGGTTTATAACTATATATTTAATGTTTTTGGTCCCACTATAAATAGTACTTTAAAAAATATTTTCTATTTCTAAATATTCATTGCTGTTATATAAAAGTACAATTGACTTTTTGTTTAATGACTTTGTATCCTGTGACCTTGCTAAACTCACTTCTTAGTTATAGTAGTTTTACTACAAATTCTTTGGGGTTTACTACATAGACAATCATGTCATCCATAAATAGAGGCAGTTTTCTGTCTTCTTTTCTAATCTCTGTGCCTTTTCTTTCTTTTTTTTGCATCTATGTTCATTAGAGATACTCGTTTTGGAATCAGGGTAAAATAAAATGTGTTAGGAAGTGTTCCTTCCTCTTCTATTTTCTGGAAGAGTTTGTGATGAATTGGTATTATTTTTTCCTTAAGTGAACCCATCTGATCCTGGAGTTTTCTTTGATGGGTGGAACATTTTAAACTACAAATTCAATTGATTTAATAACTATAAACCTATTCCGCTTATTTATTCCTCTTAAGTTTTGGTAGTTTGTGTCTTTCAAGGAATTTATCCATTTCATCAAAGTTGTCAAATTTATAAGCATCAAGTTTTATGTCCCTTAATTATGCATTTAATGTCTATAGGATCTACAGTGATGACCTCTCATCTTAATGATGCTAATTTGTGTCTTTTCTCTTTTTTTTCTCAGGCAGTCTGGCTACAGGTTTACCCATTTTATTATACTTTTCAAAGAACCAGTTTTTTGTTTGATTGATTTTATTCTAATTTCTGCTTCTAATATCATTGACTGCCATTCTAATATTTATTAGTTTCTTCTACTTTCTGTGGGTTTAATTTGCTTTTCTTTTTCAGGTTTCTTAAGGTGAAAGTTTAGATCATTTAGGGGAATCACTGATTTTAGAGCTTTCCTCTTTTCTAATATATTTAATGCTATGAAGTTCTCTCTAAATATTGCTTCTGCTGCATTCGTGAATTTTGATACATCGTGTTTTCATTTTTTTATTCTATTCAAAGTGTTTTATAATTTCCTTTAAGAATTCCTCTTTGGCCCATAGGTTATTTAGAAGTATGCTGTTCAATTCCAAATATTTGAGAATTTCCAGATATTTTTCTGTTACTGATCTCTAATTGAATTTCATAATAGTCAGAGAACACGTTATATGATTTCAGTTCTTTTAACTTTATTGAATTTTGTCTTATGGTCAAAATATGGGCTATCTCATTGATTGTTCCAAATGTACTTGAAAAGTATATATACTCTACTGTCATTGGGGAAAATGTTCTTTAAATGTCAATCAAAAGAGTTGATTGAGAGTGTTTTCCAGGTTTTCTATATCCTTATTTAATGTTCTCTTCACTAGTACTATTGATTACAGCAAAAAGTGTATTAAAGTCTCCAACTGCAAAAACTTTCTATCAGTTTTTACTTCATGTATTTTAAAGCTGCTATTAGGCATACAAATTTAGGATTATTAGGTCTTCTTGGTGAATTGATCTCTTTATTATTGTATTATATCTCTATACCTGTAAACATCCCTTGTTCTGAAGTATACTTTATCTGATACTAATAAAACCACACCTTTTGATTAGTGTTTCCAGCCTTTTACTTTTTTTAAAAAATATTTTATTGGTGAATTGGGGGAGGGAAACAGTGCTGGGGAATCGGGGGAAGGGGAACAGACAAGTTGCTGTCCTTCTGTTCTTCAGTCTAGTTGTGGAGGACGTCGCTTCACTGCCCCATGTTAGTATTATCACTGTGCTCTTCCCGGGTGAGGCAGTTGCTCACGGGCCATTGGACGGCCGCTCACAGTGGCTCACTAAAGCCCATGCCCACTGCCGGCCAGCCCCACTGCAGCCTACGCTATCACTGGGACTCACGGAAGCCCAGCTCCAGGTCGAGTTTTTGTTCACCATCTTAGCTATAGAGGGCGCAGCATCACTGGCCCTCATGTAGGATCCGAACCGGGGCCCTGCTGTCCAGAACTGGCGTCCCAAGCCAACTCTTAACCAACGCGCCACTTGGCCAGCCCCTCCAGCCTTTTACTTTCAACCTACTTGTGTTATCATAGTTAAAGTGTGTTTCTTATAAACAACATATAGTTAAATCTTATTTTTTCATCCAATTTGACAATCTCTAATCTTTCAATTGATATGCTTAGACCATTTATGTTTAATGTACTTATTATATGCTTGACTTGACACAAGCAAGTCAACGTTGATCTGAAAAAAAGAACACTAAGTGAGGTAACAAAGGAAAAATCCAACTAGTGGCTTGAGTAAAGAATGGGAAGTAAGGATGCAAAAAGAGCAAATGTGTACTATTCTTTCAAGACATTTGATGTAGGGGAATAAGAGAGAAAAGTCAGTAGTGAGATGGCTAGCGAGTTAATTAAGTTTTTTGTATCTTCCAATGATTTCAGCTAATATGGGAATACACATATTAGACTAACACCCTTGTTTACAGGCAGCTATGAATTTATTTGTAGTATTTTAAGTACTTCATATACACAAAAGGATTTTTCCAGGGAGGAAAAATTTTTGAAAAAGAATTTCTAGGGGCCAGTTAAGTGACTCAGTTGGTTAAGAGCTTGCTCAAGAGTGCAAGCGAGCTCTGAGCAACAGGGTCGTCAGTTCGATTCCCACATGGGCCAGTGAACTGCGCCCAAGCTGAGCTGCCACTGAGCTGCCAACAGGTGGCAGGATGGCTTAGCTGGTGAGAGCATGTGCTCCTAACAAGGTTGCCTATTCGAGATGTTGGACTATGCCCGCCTGCAACTAACTGAACACAGCACCTTGAGCTGAGCAGTGTGACTGGACTTGGAGCTAAGCTAGCTGTGCCCTCCACAATTAAGATTGGTGGATAACAACTTGGCTGTTCCCCTCCCCCAATTCCCCAATAGAAATCTTTAAAAAAAAAAAAGAGTGTAATTTCATTAAAAAAATAATTTCTAAATATTTAGACTTATTACATTGGCAGTTTATACTAACCTAAAGAAAGTACTGGAGAGGATGCAATAAAATAAAAAGCCTCTCAAGAAAACATAAATTACTGTTTCAAAACAATGCTGAAAAACAAACTGAAACTAATATTTGTACTAATAAACTTTGTTTCATTCCCAGTGTAGATACCTTATTCAGGAAGAAAAGATATCTGGAGGCTTGAGAATGCTATTTTACTTACTTGACAAAAAAATTTTACTTTTCATATTTGTGCAAATATTTTAAGTGTTTTACTTTAGGTTTTGTTTATTAATGTGGTTGTTAAAGTTGTATATGTAACATACAAAATTGGTTATGGTTAGCTTTTTACTATTTGGTTTTTGTAAATTATTTAGATATTTTTAGATTAAGCATGGGTAAACTATAAAAGATAAGAAAATGTGAAGGTTATTAAACCAAAAGGTAAGATACAAAGTAAAATAGAAATTATCAGGCAGGGTAGATTTCCAACATGTTGGAAAGATTATGGGAAAAAATGTAGATGAGTGGGAATAGAGCTGGTTAAAACATACTTCCCAGCCACAGCCATTAGATGGCGCAACGCTTTTGCAGGACTTAAACTGAATGACCTAAGCACTCAAAGTTTAAGGAAAATCCCCGAAGAAATTAAGCTTCTAGCTTCTAAGAACTGGAAATTTTCTGTGCTATTTGGGACAGTAGGATGTTTTGTGTGTGTGTTTGTTGTTTTATATTTTGCTTTGTTCGGTGTAAATGTTTTAAACATGGATATTTTTCAAAGATATTGTAGCCTCTTTAAGTCAGCAGCATCCTGCACGTGACTAAGTGGTACTTGGGGTGATGGAGGTGATGATGATGGTATGTGTCTCACAATCTTAGAAACAACTTGATTCTTTTATTGCTACAGAAAAACAACATATTATCAGAGTGAGATACTACAAGAAAAATTCTATCCCCTAAATATTAGTAGCATGAAAAATACTAAATTTTTAATCTAATATGCTAGTAGTCCTTACTAAGCAATAATTAGTACTTACTTGAATTAGGGGGCCAGGACTCCCAGTATTCACTACCTGCTTGAGTTCTGGGTGACTTGCCCCGAACCTAGGGGGCCACACAAAAATCATAAGAGTTATGATCAACGAGAGAACTTAACCAAGAAATTAAATCATAAAAGAGTACCTAAAATATACTCATGTCTACCAATCTTCTTCCACAGTATATAAAATTGGACATATTCATCCTAACAATAATAACACACATTTATAAAAGGTTTTCTAGTTTCCTATGCATGTCCCCATATATTTCCTCATCCAATGTCAAGCTCATTCAGGGGCAAGGGGAAGGGGAATTTGCAGTGAAGAGAGACCTGTGGGGTCAAGAACCACAGTTCCTTAGACAGTTACACAGTTGCTAGGAGCAAGAGTTATCATGAACTCCCTCCCTGGATTGTCACACCATGATGAAAAGTCAGTTCTGCCGAGAAGAAAACCAAAGAGAAAAGCAACTGTCATCTTCAGCAGGGTCTCATCTTTTAGCACTGCATTCATCTAAATTAAAATTGATTAAACCAAGCTTTTGGGGGCGCTTGCCATAGAGAAACACCATAGAAAGAGGGTTACCCTTCGTTCTTGTTTCTTCTGCGTCTCCATGACGTGCAGGCGCTCCATGAGGCTGGAGATGCCCTGTTCCAGGCTGTCAATGGTGTGGTGCTGAGGGTCATGGCCACTGAAGCTGTTGCGCAGGCTGCGGAGGGCATCTCGTACAAGCTGCAGGTCGCTGGTCTGTAGGCAAAGTGAGGTGCTGTTGGCATGGGGTGGTGCCACATTATGAACCACATCCCAACCTCTGGGCTTAGGAAGACACAGGTGAGAGGTTTCCAAGATAGATTTTTTATTTTTGAGGGAGACAGTGTGAACTGTAGGAAAATTTCCTCCACAGAAGCGGGCCTACCGTTTGCCCACTAATTCTTAATTTTGGATAACAAATGCCTCACATCTTTCCACACCCAACAGATGCCAAGAGTTAGGGCACTGGGACATAAAAGGTCTAGTTCACTGGCGATGGCTAAGGTATTTCTGCTTTTAGCTGGAAGTGGCAGGTCGGGACTGAGTCCTAAGGACCTACCCCTCTGAGGGTGACTGAAGCAGCTCCTTTTCCCGCCACTGGAGGGAGGAAACCATTGCTTTGAGAGTTGTGACTGTTGTGGTTGGTCACCTATGGCAGCAAGAAAAAATGATGCTTGTTATGAGAGAATTCCAAACCCAGATGGCCTGTCTTATTTTTCTTCTTTACATTTACCACTTCCTGAAGTAATATAAAATCATGTATTTGTTTCACATCTCTCTTTATTAGAATGTAAGCCTCGTGAGTGCAGGTTTTTTCCCCTTTGTTCACTGCTATATCCCCAGTGCTTGACACTTGGTGGGCACTGTTGAATGTAGAATGAAGAAAACGGAAACCTCAACCTGGAGGCCCCCAACCTAGCTTCTGCCTGGCCACCGGAAGGCCTGAGAATGTTGCTCCCGCACTTGCTGCCTTTGCTTCAGTAATTAAAAAATAAGAAAAACGACCAAATCTCTTGAGTCTCACTCTGTGCTGGGTGATCTTCCAGGATTATGTTTACCATTTACCTGGATTATCTTATGTGCTCTTCATAATGGCAGACAGGGTCACTAGTACTTCCCCTTTCCAGATGAACCTCATTTCTAAGGCTCAGAAGCTAAGCAAATTAAGGTCACAACATGGTCAAAAGTGGTAAAGCTGGAATCTGAAGCCAGATTTTCTTACCCTGGAATCTCCATTCATAACCCCCTCACCAAACAGCCTTTTTACAAACCAACCTGTGGCCTTGGTTCAATCCTGAATCAGAAACAGAATCTCCCTCCTTGCCCTTGTAAATGTGGGAGGGAGACCCCGAGTTGTAGGTTACCTCATCTGCCTCTCTTTTCACACAGTGAGCCAAAAGAACATCTTTGTGTTCTAGCTCCTGCTCCAGATCCACCTGTAAATCAGAGAGTAAATCAGAAAAGGATGTCTTCAGGTTAGAGGGGCAGGGCAGTGGTTAAAATGTTCCCACCTGCTGGTAACTGGCCTCAGAGAGTTTCCGGAGTGCTTCTTCCATCTTGGCCTGGTGCTGCTGAAGGAGGCGATCCTTCTGCCCCAGCTCTTTCTGCAACAGGGAGAGAGCTTTCAGATGTGTGGCAAAGCCAAGGACATTGAACAGTTCACCCTTTGCGACGCAGTTTCCACCTGAGAAAAGTGGAAATGGTCCTTTCTTCAAGCTACACCCAGAAGACATCATATACCATGGCAGGCTTGCACAGTGCAAAGGATTCTTGGGAGGGTAAGGAGAAAGGGAATTACTGTTTGTAGGAGGGCCACTACACGCAATCCATGCTAGTTAGAGATAAAGGTTAAGACTGAACTGAAGTTTCCAAGCTCTTAGTTCTGTGCTCCTTCTCCTAGCCATGTTCTCTACCTTCAGGGTTAGTGAATGAAGAGAAGACAGGAAAGGATTTCCTTGCTGAAAGCAAGTTTGAGAACAGAGTACTTAAGTGCTCTTTGAACAACACCAACAATGGGCTGTTCAGAAAAGGTCAGATGAAAATCATTTCCACACTGATGTTCATTCTTACTTTATATTCTCCCAAGAGCCGGTTCCTCTCATCTAGCTTCCTCTGCAGATCAACCTGCAAGAAGGATAAGAAAGAATTAGCATGGAGGTATTGTCTGCCAGCCCTAGTAGGAAATTAGCTACTTAGAAACCAGAGTTCATGTTAGGAGTTACAGTATACAGCACAGAGAGGGCACGGCTATGGGAAAAATACACAGCTGCTCTCCATGTCTTTAGTGCAATCGTCAGACTGTAAAACCACAATATAGCATCAGTGTCCTAAAAATTGAAAGGTTGAGGCCAGTGTGGTGTGGGCTTTCACCTAGGAACAGAGATGAGCCTGACATGGAATAAAATAATTGCAAACACTGAGAAAAGATATCCTGGAATTAAGAGATTAGGATGACAGATTTAACAAGGCAGTATCCTATTTTGCTACTAGGATACAATGAGGTCAGAGTTCATTCATGAAACTCACGTTCTGGTTGTGCAGCTCATCTTTGTCCATATTTGCCCTCAATAGTTCTTGTTTGAGCTGAAGAACAGATGTGTCCTGCTGTGTCAACCTCTGCTGCAAGGCATCCTGGGAGAAAAGCATACTAATTATTGTGGTTCTGATTAGTTAATCAGCCAGTTATTACTAAAAGTTATTAAACCCCGGGCCGGCCGAGTGGCATTTTGGTTAAGAACTGGCTTGGGATGCCAGAGGGCCCTGGTTCGGATCCCACATATGAGGGCCAGTGACACTGCCCTCTACAGCTAAGATGCTGAACAACAGCTCAACCTGGAGCTGGGCTGCCGTGAGTCGCCGGCGATGGCATGGGCTGCAGTCCCCTGCTGCAGTGGGTTGCCATAAGCTACCGTGTGTAGCCAGCAGCCAGCGTGAGCGGCCAGCAGCCGCCGTGAGCGGCCGTCCAGAAGCCGGTGACTGATCTGCCTCGCCTGGGAAGAGCGCAATGATGGTGCCAACTTGGACCAGTGAAGCAACGTCCTCCACAACTAGATTGACGAACAAAAGGACAGCAACTTGTCTGTTCCCCTTCCCCCGATTCCCCAATAAAATCTTTAAAAAAGGAAAAAAAAAAGAGTTATTAAACCCCTCAATGCGTATTCAGTGTTAGTTCTGGCAAACTGGGAGACAAAAGGAGCACAAGGGTCTTGCCATAGGAGGTAAGCAGGGGTTTTTTTTGTCCTCTTCAAGGACACTAGAATCTAAAGGAAAATCCTATCTGTTGTCCTTCCAAGCTGACTGAAACCTAATTTTTCCTCCACCTATTTCTCACCACTACCCTCTACTTCATTCCTGACAGCATGATATATTATAGTAGAAGAAAGGCCTTTGGGATCAGACAGACTTAGATTCAAACTACAAGTCTACCACTTACTTTCATGACAACGCACTCTCCATCCTCCCACCCTGGCTTTCTCATCTATATCTCAGGCATATAAATACTCAATCTACCTCCCTGCCAACTCCCCATTTCCGAGGGGGCTGGAACCTATCTCTGCCTGACACCCTGTTCATAGAGAATCCCTGAAATCACCTCCACCCTGCCTTCGAGAGCCCTGCTTCTGTCCTTCTGCCACTGGCTCCCATGCCTTATGTGGACCAAGACTGAGATTATATTTCCATGTTCAGAACTCCTCTGCTCAGTATCCTAGAACCTTCCCAACTTTAGGCCATCTTTCTCTCAGCATGGACCTGTTTGGTCCCTACCATGCTTAAGAAAAGGTAGGTTGTATATACTTCTTTAAAGGGTCAGCAGTAACACGTACCTCCAACCACAGTGACTTCAAATGGCACTAGGGACTAGAGCTGCATTCCGGTGTACGAGTATTTACCCTTTCTTTTCTCTCTCTACAGACTGCAAAGAAATGGTGCGGGCTCTGGAGAATGTGGGAGCTCATCCTTACATGTGCTGCCTGCCATGAGATCACATGGCAAAGGTATTCTAAGACGCCCCTGGCATCAGCAGCTCAGAGAAACATTTCCCAAAGTGTGCTGCGTGGGATATTAGTAAGTGTTGCATGGGAGAAGAAGCGCTTCGGTGGTTAATAATTCTAAGTACTTTTTAGGCCAACCTCTTTATGAGAGGCCTTCTCAGGTCCTTTAATATGTTACTATTCACTGTGACTCTTCAGGTGAGAAGGGCATTTCTCAAACTTATTTGACCATAGACCACATTTGTTTTCTGAAGTATCTCAAAGGACTAAGGCTACAGAATACACTCCGGAAAACGCTGCGGAATTACACTCTAGTTGAGTCCATGAATGGAAGTGTAGAGAAAAGGGGAAAAACAGCAGCCTAAGAAGATCCTTTTCCACTTCTCGGTTTTTATATAGCAGATATACTCCCACTTGTGTGAAATAACATATTCAATCTTACTAGCTAGATCACTGTTATATATTAGCAAAAGACTGGAAATAACCTAAAAGACCATCAGTAGGAGATTGATTCAATAAATTATCATATATACATATATTGGAATACTATACAGCCGTAAAAATGACCTAGGGAGGTCTTTATATACTGAAATAGAATGACCTCCAAGATACATTGCTAAGTGAAAAAAAGCAATGTGTCAAGCTTTATTTATAGTATACTGTTATTTTGGGGGAAATTATATACATACATATTTGCTGATAACTGACAAGTTGCCTCCAGGAAAAAGAACCAGGTGAAGGGAGACAGGGCTGGAAGTCAGACTTTTCAAGGATTAGCCTTTTGTATCTTTTTTACTTTAAGCCATTTGAATGTTATTAACTATTCAAAAACGAAGTAAATTACCATTTTTTAAAGAGGACATTCTTCTTTAGAACCGAAGAAAACTAATAAAACACTGAAACTGAAGGAAAAAACTAATTGTTTTTACATATAGAAACAATCAAGGTGGTACACAGGGAAGTGACAGCACCAGGAGTCATAACAGCCAGATACAAGCCTCGACAAAACAAAGGTATGTTCCTCAACATGTCTCACTTCCCATCCACAAAGACCCCCCTTTATCAATAGCACAAAGCCAGTTAAAGGCCCCACCAAATGTAGACAAGAAAAGACTATAGAACCCAGCTAGTCTCCCAGCACTCAGTCTCACCAGGAGACTACTTTACCTTGTAGCATTTACTTAAAGAGTTAAATGTCTTCCTTTTTACCTTTATCCCTTGTAAGTTTCTGGCTTCCTGTTTACATTTCAGCAGCTCCTTCTGCAAACCAAATATAGTTAGATCAGGTGTAGCATCTGGGCTGCTTCAGAATCATTACCTCATTCTGTCAGTAAAAACGCAGAACTCAGATAACCATTCCATGAAAAATTAACCATCTACTGAGGCAGAAAACAGGTCTGGTCTAGTAAACAGTACAGGCTGACCCAAAGAAACAAGAATAGGACCCATTCTATTCTGCCCTGTGGCACCCAGGCTCAACTGCCCATGTAGAGAAGAGTCTTGCCAAGAAATAGAGAAGAATCTTGCCAAGAAAGAAGACACCATACTTTCCCATAGGCTATCCTTCCTATATTTAGCAATCTTCACTGACAGGAAAACTTAACTATAATAATCTAAATCCCTCTCACTGAAATATATAATCATATCTTAATATGCCTATCCTCAATGTCATTAAATAATTTTCTTAGCTTTTAGTGTTCAGCAAAGGGTTAAAAAGCCACTGATTCTCTGAGAGGGTATTGCTCTTTATGACCAAAGAAAAACACATTTAGCCAATAATGAAATACTAATTAACTCTCCCTTACAATTGATTAAATATATGTATATGATTGTCACTAGGAAAGAGATTTTAGGAGAGGGACACCTATAACTTGGACCCCACTCTCTTTTCCTATTGCATCACATCAAGAGTTTGAAATTAACATATCTAAAATGGGGATTCTTAGCCTGGATGCCACATATGGACTCCAAAGTCACCCTAATAAAAATTCAAGTCAGTGAGTGTGTATACATGCACTAATGCATCTTTCTGAGCAGAGGATTAATGGCTTTAGTAATATACTTATGACTCCACAAAAGTTAAGACCCACTGACCTAAAAGAATTCTGGGAAGTAATCATTAAAAATGATCATACTAGACTATAGTTAATAATACTGTACTGTATATATGAAAGTTGCTAACAGAGTAGATCTTAAAAGTTCTCATCAGAAGAAAAAAAATTATAACTATGCATGGTGATGTCTGTTAACTAGACTTACTGTGGTGACAATTTCACAATATATACATATTGAATCAATGTTTTACACCTACAACTAATATGATGTTATAAGTCAAGTATAAAAAAATGAACCATACTGATATTAGATCCATTTTTAATTCTAATTAAACAAAGATAACAATGAAACATTTCAAACGTACAGAAAGGTGTAACCAATAATGACATAGATCCCTACTACTCACCACCGAGGTTAAAAAGATACTACCTGTTTGCCATTTTTAGAACATAGCTCTCTCTTTCAATTAAAGACATAATACAGATACAACTAAAGTCCTGAGCCTGCATCCTTTTCCCTCCCACCCTTGCTGTCCCAAAGTTGGTGTGTCACATTCCCATTATTTTTTTCAAAGGGTAAAATGTACATGTTCTGACATACCTTTAGGTCCTGATTCTCCTCCATACTCTGATCCAGACGACTTTGGATTATAATCTGAATATAAGGCAAAAAGAAATGGTTATGTACCTATGCTATAAAATTTGGAGGTCATTCCTTCAACACATCTTTACTGAGCACTTACTAGATGCTAGCTCCCTACTGTGGATACAAAGGAGAACAGGAAACCAACAGTTCTTGTGCTCTAGTGGAAACTAGGGTGGTACAGGTAGATTAGTATGGATAAAGTTTAGAATGAGTATGTGTATGTTGGGTGCAGGGGGTTGGGCAAATGGAAAGAGAAATGGCAAGGGATGAAGCTGGAGAGAAAAATAGGGGCCGGATCATGAAAGGCCAATGAGGGCAACGGGGAATCAATGAGACGTTTTAGGCAAAGGGATGACAAAATGAGGTTTGCCTTGAAGGTCAATTATTCTTGCTGTTTTATAGAAAATGAATTAGAGTACAGGCGAGGAATCAGGAAAGCCAGTTAGAAGGCCACTAGAATACTGAATGAAGGCCTGAATTAAGATAGTGGCTGTGAGAATGGAGAAAACGGTATGAAGGTATTTAAAAAGTCAATTGAGGGCAGGCCGAGTGGCGCGTTGGTTAGGAGTTGGCTTGGGATGCCACCTCTGAGCACAGGGCCCCTTTTTGGATCCCACATGAGGGCCAGTGACACTGCACCTTCTACAGCTAAGATGGTGAACAACAGCTCGACCTGGAGCTGGGCTGCCGTGAGTCAACTGCGTAGGCTGCAGTGGGGCTGGCTGGCAGCTGCAGCTGGCATGAGTTTTCATGAGCTGCTGTGAGCCGCCGTGAGCGGCTGTCCAATAGCCAGCGAGTGACTGCCTCACCCAGGAAGAGCACAATGATAATACCAACATGGGTCAGTGAAGCGATGTCCTCCACAACTACTGAAGAACAAAAGGACAGCAACTTTGTCTGTTCCCCTTCCCAGATTCCCCAACGCTGTTCCCCTCCCCCAATTCCCCAATACAGTCTTTAAAAAAATAAATAAATAAAAGGTCAATTGACAAAACTTGGTAACTAATTGTATGTAGAGGGAAGGGTCAAAAAAGATTCAAGGATGATACTTCAGATTTCTGTTTTGGGTATTTCGTTAGATGGATAGTGATAAGAAACAAAATCCAAAAGGAAAAGTAGTTTTGGTAGTGGGGAGAGAAGGGAGAGAAAAGCTGTTTAATTTACGACTCACTGAAATGGATATGCTGATGGGACACCTAAGTGAAGATATTCTACAGGCAGTTGCATGTATGCATATACAAATCTAGAAGTCCACAGAGAGGGCTGAGCTAGAAATAAATATTTGAGAGTCAGGTGGGAAGTGAGTGAAGCCACAGAGGCAGATATTACCCAGCTGAATGTCTGGGATAGAAGAGGACCCAGAGTGGAAGCCTGACGAGTACCAACATGTAAGGCATAGGCAGAAAAAGAGAAGCGTCAAAGGGGACCTGAATGCAAACTCCATGAGGACAGGGTCTTAGGTCTGTTTTGTCATTAGCATATTTCCATCACCTTGAAACTGCCTGGCTCAGAGTCGGCACTCGATAAATATTTATTGATTGAATGAATGAATGAATGAATGAATGAATGAAAGGAAGAGTCGTCAAAAATATATGAGGAAAACCAGGAGAGATGGGGTCAGGGAAGAGTATTTCAAGAAGGCATGGACAACAGGGTCAAATGCTAAAAACAAACCAAATAAATAAACCAGATTATTTGGTGTCCAGTCACAAAAGAAGGCACTTACCAATTGTTCCTCGGGATTGACTCCTGGTTCACAGAGGGCCAAGGGCCTCTCCTGTTCATCTTCGGGTAAGGATCCATTGAGCAGTAAGGCCTGAATAACCACAAAGGCAGAAAGAAACTGAACTCCCATGATATAACCAAGTCTAGGGTTGGGCTTGGTAGGCTCATCCCATATTGAAATCACAACCAGGCTTCCTCTAGAAATCTCCTTGGTAATTTTTGATCCTTAGATACCTCCAATTGCTCATCTTGGGTCTACCTGGAGTTCTCTCTGGATGCCCCTAAGTCCTCTGCTCCAAGACCCCTTGGCCCCAGAAAACAATCTAAAAATAAATTTTCCTCTCAGAAGTGACATTTCAAACCTGAGCTGCTCAAACTGAAATTTGCCAGCTGGAGAGTGAACTAAAAGCGGTGTGGAATTATCCTGGCATAAAAGTTTATTTATTATAATGAATTAGTTAGAATACATTTAGAGCACTGCCTTGGGTTTCTTTTAATAATTCTGCATTTTTACTCTCTAAGGCAACCTGGATAGAACAAGGAGGAAAACATATTTGCAGAGACACGACCTCATTAATTTCCACTCCCCATGTTGTGGGCCAACCTGGAGCTGGGCTGCTGTGAGTCGCTGGTGACGGCGTAGGCTGCAGCCCCTGCTGCAGTGGGCTGCCATAAGCTACCATGAGTGGCTGGCAGCCGGCATGAGCAGCCAGCAGCCAGCGTGAGCTGCCAAGAGCCACCGTGAGCGGCCGTCCAGTGGCCGGCGACCGATCTGCCTCACCCAGGAAGAGCGCAATGATAATACCAACATGGGCCAGTGAAGTGACGTCCTCCACAACTAGACTGAAGAACAAAAGGACAGCAACTTGTCTGTTCCCCTTCCCCAATTCCCCAACGCTGTTCCCCTCCCCCAATTCCCCAATAAAATTTAAAAAAAAAAAAAGAGAAGAGTTACAGGGGTTAAATTCCTGTTTCAATAAATATAACAGAAATTATACCACAAATGTTGGTATATAAAAACATTTAAAAAGTCAACCACTGGTTGATCTATCATGCACTAATTAATAAAATAAAGCTTAGTGAATCAAATTAATTTGGTTATCCCATGGAGTTGTGTCAAGAAGTATAGACAAGTTTAAGAAGCTACAGGGCTGCAGGGAGCTAAGGGAGAGTAACATTACAGAAATACTGACGCTAATGGCAAAGTGTTCAGTGGGCTCTAACTTAGGCATACTAATAAGTGTCAGAAATCCTGGATGTGGCTCAGCATGCAACTGTGCTCATCACTGAAAGAGTTAAGAAGCCCACTGGATGCTGTGAGCCCCATTGTATTCTATACTGGAACTGAATTGTCATTGTGATCATGTGGCTGTGAATTATAATTCCTCTGCAGAGAATATTAGGATGCTGACTTTCTGCCTGTCAATTCTCTTTCTCTATCTAATCTGTCATCGAATTTCTCCAAGACTGAAAAATGCAAACCATATTGAGAGCCAAACTGATGGATATCTATGTTCCTATAATGAAATTAGCCTGAGAAAAACCTGATTGGGCATAATCCCAAATTTTTCCATGCTTTAACACTTCCAATTTAAAGGTCAACACACACACAAAAAACCCATTCCATTAATTAAACCATTCCTTAATGGAGTGGCAGAAAAGAGATCTAAAAGGCAGACGTTTTAAAAATACAGAGCAAAAGGGGAGAAATCAACAACTCTCCTAGTGAATGTTTAGGCAGTAAACATTCCTCCAACCCTCTCGGTTCCTGAGGCATATATTATGCAAATTATTTCACCACAGCACCAATCTCCTTTTTTCTTTAGGAACCCTTTGTGTCCCCACCCTGTTGCTGGCTGGCTAGGAGCACGCCCTCCACCGCCTGCCGGCTGCCAGAGCCACTCACATAATGTGGGCTTTGTTTATGTGTCCATAAATATTTGACAATTCAGGAGCAGCGCAGTTCCCAGCACAAACAGAAAGGAATATTCCTAGGCAATTTCAGGGTCATCAGCACACTACAAGGGCTCCCCCAAATAGGGACAGACGCACAAAGACAGAGGATTGGGGGGTCATTTCAGGGTAGAAACTAAGTCAAGTGGGTCAGTTGGTCTCTGGGGGAGATTTGCTGAGCTGGCACTGAAGGTATAGTAAAAACTGAAGGGCTTTGTTGCTCAATGAAAACCTTTTCTACCTGATCATCATGCCTTGGCATCCACTTGCAAATGCATTAGGAGTGAGCTAAATAAATCCCTGAGCTAGACTGGAATGGAGACCTGTGGCATTACTGGTGGCTCTTACACCCTTCCTGCTGAAAAATTCCTAGGAGAAAATCCCTGACTATTCAGTGCCATTCTTTGATGAAAGCTGCAATTGCAGGTCTCTAGTTGAAAACCGGGGAGAAACCCACCTATAAGCAGAGAGCCAGAATAAGGGTTTGGTGGCTCCCAGGCGTGCAGAACTCCTAACAGCTGTGCTATAAACAAGAGCCCATAACGTCCATTTAAGAGGAATTTTCTGCTCTTTGTGTAATACTCCCTCTATCTAAACTCCCCATTTAACTCACCTCATGCAAAACTGAGCCAGTTTATTTTCAACTGATACCAGTGACTTAAGAATAATAATCAATTGGTGCCCCAAAGACAAACTACAAGGGAAAGAGCTACCTGTAATCCTGATATCATCTTCTTGGCTTCCTCCATTTCTTTTTCTAAATGTTCTTGTTGTTCCAACAACTGTTCTTCCCATGAAGTCTCCAGATAGGTTCCAGGGCTACCTGGTCGCCAGTCTCGGGATAATGGAGAGTCTGTCTCCTCTGCAAAAGGAAAGGCGGGAGTACAGTTCATGTTGAAGGAAAGTGAGTTTCCAGCAGGAAGCGTTCACAGTCCTCTGCGTTCACAAGTTCAGGTCACCTGCCTTCTTAACCTGTCCTCACTGCACAAACTGGACCCGCCACCAGGTGGGGTTGTGAGATATAAAGAATTGGCTATTAACTCGGACTCCAGGCTCAAGGAAGCAACACTTACTCCGTTGGGGAAATATGTCCTCTTTAGAAGTTTAGGAAGCAATAAGGCCACCTCTTTGGGGGTCTTGGTGTGAGACATAGATTTTACTCTTAATTCTCCAGAACTGGCACTCTCAGAGCTTGATTCTGCCAGGTACAAAGAGGGGAGCTGTCGGAAGCAGTGACAACAAAATTTCTGTGGCTTGCTCTGGCACTTCAGAGGGGAGACCTCAACTCAATATTCCCTTGACCATCCTGTCCTAAGGGATCCCCTTTCACATATAACACCATGTGATGTACACAGGAAATGAAACAGTAAAAGCATATTTGCACAAACTGGTGCAAATATCTCTCTGGTTTAATCTCTCTCTGCTTTTATTTTCCTACCTTTACTGTCTCTTTGCTCTGATTTCATTCATAAGAATGAATACATAATCCCTCTGGGTTACTGTGAAGATTAAATGAGGTTACATGTGCAGGGCCCTGTGGTGCCTGGCCCAGAGCAAACGCTCAGGAACTGCTTTCCCTCTCCCTCTCCTTCCCCAGGGTCCCAGGAGTTTCTGACTCAGTAACATGACTGATTCTGTGATACTAATGCCAGAGCTAGAGGAGGAGTGGGATAAGGAAGAATTTAATTCTAGTTTTTCTTCTGAGGGCTTCGGTTGCATTGCATCTCTTACAGATAAATAAAACTCTATCTAAATCATCTGTTTTGCTTCTTCCATGTTTCCCTCTATGTTTATGTAAGTAAAAAACAGAGGAAGAAATCTAAACAAACGGAACTCCTTGTGGTCCTTTCTGTAGCCCTCATACCAAGTCTGATGTAGACCTATGTTCTCTCTACTGCGTGTTCTCACAGACACCTTAGCTCCTACTCCACATTCCTGGCCCCAGTTTAAGTTAGGAAAGTACTGAAATTATTTGTATAACACAGAAATAATAAAAACTATTTACTTAAGTAAGGCTTTTGACTATTCCAGTCATTTCCTAATTCATAGGCAGCCTGTCTACACTGCTGCAAGATGACAGCTTGGACATAGGAAGTGACATTCTGTAAGAGGACAACTACATTAATTGGCTCCAAAGCATTACAGCCCTCTAGAGCTGACCCTGTATGCACAGACTGTGGCGAGGCCCAGGCCAGGGAGCTTACAGGATAGTGAGGAGCCCCAAACTCTTCAAGCTGCAGGGTATTCCTTGAGCCAACCCAGGTAGGCTGAGAAATAGTACCTGTTCTGTTCTCTATTCCTTCAGAGGGGATAATCACGAAATCTGCTTTCTCCTCCGACTGGGTAATAATGGATTCGCTCTTTGCACTGTGGATAGGACTGGGTGAAGTCAGACTGTGATCAAAGGAAAAGGAAGAGAAACAAATATTATGAACAGTTGTTTAGAAGCCAACTGTTGTAATTTATCCCAGAGACAAATTCTTATTCATCTTATTCCTACTGCCTAACACAGTAACTGGCACACGACAAGAACAAATTTTTGTTGAATGAACAAAATGAATGTTGAGTGAATAATTGACCCAATCCAAGGAAATATTTTCTATAGCAAGGCTGCTTTAAAGCCTAATTCATTGAGAAGAGATTTATCAGAAAGATGGGTAATCTAACATTTTATTTTATTTTATTTTATTTTTTTTAAAGATTTTTATTGGGTAATTGGGGGGATGGGAACAGTGCTGGGGAATTGGGGGAAGGGGAACAGACAAGTTGCTGTCGTTTTGTTCTTCAATCTAGTTGTGGAGGACGCTGCTTCACTGGCCCAAGTTGGCACCATCATTGCGCTCTTCCCAGGAGAGGCAGATCAGTCGCCGGCTTCTGGACGGCCGCTCACTGCGGCTGCTGGCTGCTCACACTGGCTGCTGGCCGCTCACGCTGGCTGCTGGCCGCTCACGCTGGCTGCTGGCTACATACGGTAGCCCATGGCAACCCACTGCAGCAGGGGCTGCAGCCTATGCCGTCGCCAGCAACTCACGGTAGCCCAGCTCCAGGTTGAGCTGTTGTTCAGCATCTTAGCTGTAGAGGGCAGTGTCACTGGCCCTCATATGTGGGATCCAAACCGGGGCCCTCTGGCATCCCAAGCCAGTTCTTAACCATCGCGCCACTCGGCCGGCCCAGTAATCTAACATTTTAAAGAGCTCCAAGTTATGTTTTGTTTTGTTTTTTAAAGATTTTATTGGGGAATTCACGGAGGGGAACAGTGTTGGGGAATTGGGGAAGGGTACCAGCCAAATTGTTGTTCTTCAATCTTCGCTGTGGAGGGCACCAGTCGCCATCTGGCTGCCCGTCGGCAGCTCGTGGCCTCTAAGCTCAAGGTACTGTGTTCAATCTTAGTTGCAGGTGGGCGTAGCCACTATCCCATGTGGGAGTCAAACCAGCAGCCTTTTGTTAAGAGCGCACACTCTATCCACTGAGCCATCTGGGCGGCAGCTCAGCTCAAGGTGCCGAGTTCAGTCTTAGTTGCAGGTGGGTATAGCCCACCATCAAACAGGCACCCTTGTTGTTACACAAGCTGAGCCATCCTGCCACCTGTTGGCAGCTCAGCAACAGCTCAGCTCAGGTGCAGTGTCACTGGCCCATGTGGGAATCGAACCGGTGGCCCTGTTGCTCAGAGCTCGCGCTCTTAAGCCAACTCTTAACCAACTGAGCCACTCAGCCGGCCCCATGTTTTGATTTATTTTTACTTACCCTCACCACCACTTCCACCACCACCATCCCTGGGCCCAAGTTCAGAGACTAATATAGTATGTGTTTTAGTGCTTTGGGAGATAGAAGTATAAAATCTATTTCTAATACATTGATCTATCACAGACACAAGCAATACTAGCAGAGTAATCATAGCAGATCAGCTCTGGGCTGATCCCAAAGGAGGGGATGAGGTGGAGGGTACCTCAGCAAGGAGAAATTGCTAGAGTTTGGACAGTACCAGGATGGGTAAAGGGGCAGTGATATATCAACAAAGCTAAGATGCGTTAAGGAAAAGGGTAATAGGTCAAAAGGGGACAAAACCTGCTAGAAATGGTAGAGGTTTACTTGATTTATTCCCATCCAAGAGTTATTTATATTTCTGCCACACTATTTTTAAATTGTCATCAGAAACCTCACAACAATTCTTCAGTTTTGATAGAAACTACTAGCCTTGGAAGAAAGCAATCAGATTTTTAGGGAGGTGGAATTTTAAAGCCCCAGAACAGCAAATCATAAGACAAGATGGGAATGTGAGGCTGATGCTTCCATCCGAAAAGGCCCTTTGCTTTGCACCTTGAGAACATCAGCACTGAAACAATCTCAGGGGCTGTGGGGTCTGCAGGCCCAGCCCCCTCTCAGGAATTCTTTCCAAATCCATCACCCAGACAACAGTGACAGTGTCTAGGATTCACTGACCCACTTAATGTGCCCCTGAAGTCTCCCAGGCTAATCCTCACAGAGCCACGATTAGGAGTTAACATTTCATCTTCCTAGAAATCAGTAAAAACAAGAGCCAGGCACAGTGGATGTAGCTAGAGATTTCAAAACCTCTGAAGCAGCCTGAGGACTAGGGTCTCATCCTCCTTCGTTGTTCAGAGTTTAAGGGTTTTGGTGGGAATGACCTCAACCAGTAATACGAACCACAGAAAACGTTTTTTAAGTTGTTTGCTTCTTCAAATTAAAGAAAGGCACTCAACCCTATCTATAGATCTATAACCGCAACAGGTGAAAGGGGTGAAGAGTGGCAGGAAGTGGTATTTAGAAAAGGTAATTGCTTTATAGAACTCTTATCCATCTTTCACTAGTCAGGCAATCTGACTTCCCGGCCAACATGAATTAGCTGCTGGAAAAGCACTAGTCTAAGTGTACTATGTCATTTATAAGGAGAACAGATTTATGACTGTTCAGGCTTCAGCATTCGCCTTCTTACAGAAATTGGGATCCAAGTGGAGAAAGAGGCCTGCAACAGCTGCTCCTCTTTGAAAAATAACGTGACAACACTTTCTCAGCTGACAAGGTGCTATGGTTGACATGTTCCACTGTCTGCATTTGGCTGGGCTACAGTGGGTAACGTGCAAGACAAAGGGGGGCTTGCGAGAGGTGGTGTGAACCTGGAAAACTGCTTTCTAAAAGCAGAGACGCATGCTCAGCTCCACCTTCTCCCTCCTAAGTGAGCTGTCTCCCATATAAGGGCAGAAAGGGGCGGATGTCTGCATATCCCACCCCAGTGGGGGAGTGGCACAGGAGCCAGAAGAAAACAACATTTCTCTTTCTTGAATTGAGGCTGCCAGTATGTGAGGCCAGAGAGGTAAGACCATGAGACTATTGTAGGTGGCCAAGTTAAAAAAGAAAGGACGTGAGGGAGAAAAATCCTGAGCCACATGGCAGAGCAGGCATCTTGCTGCCTCCCCAAGAAGAACCTCATGGATGAGGATGGTGCATTATGAAATCCTCTGCCTCAAGTCAGAGAAAAGTATTTTCATGGCTAATTAATTCACATGATATATGATAAGCTCTCCCTGATTAGCTTAAAAACCTTATTTTATAAACAGGTAATCCCCCTACTTGCCATCATAATCCACTCAAATCAAGTCCCACCGATATACTTCTTAATCCCCACAGGTCTAACATCTCTCCAACCTTAATTTATCAGACAAGCAGTCCACCAGCAAAGATACTTGCAAATTAGAGTCAAATCAATTTTTCAAAAAATAGGTGATAAGAAAGAGAGTACTGTTCCCTTCCAGACGTGCCCTCCCCTAGCAGAGACAAGACAGGGTAAAGGGCCCCTCCTTCCCTACCCTATGCTGCCTCCAGGTTCCTAAACCCACTGTATGTTATAGTGATAATCTCAGGCCAGCAGCCTGTCCTTCCCAGTATAGCGCCACCACCCATCCCCATCTGTCGCTGGCCAAAAGCATCCTCCAGCCCTGGCCCTGCTCCCACCCATGCCCCCACCTCCACGGCCAAAGTGGTCTCAGCTCACCATTTGACTTGCGTCCCTCCCATGGTCCCTTCTCCTGGCTCTGGCTTCAGCAAGCCTGCTTCCCTGTGTGAAGCGGAAGGCTGAGGGTCACAGCACTCCCAAATTCGGGCATATCTCCCCGAGCTGGGGCCAGAAGAAAGACTCCACGGGCAGGCCAACTACCAGAGCTGCTGGCCCCGATGGAGGGAGAGAGTAGGAAGGACAGAGAGGCTGGCGTCTCGGCCCGAGGGACCGGGATGCTCCCGGTTCGGAGGCGCGCTGTCCCGGCAGCTCAGACACTGCAGCAGCCAGGTCTCGGCGGAAGCCGCCTCCCCTCGCAAGCTGCCGGTCTCCGGCAGCCACATGGTGGTCTCCGCAGCCGTGCGGCTCCGGGCAAGCCCCCGGGCGCAGGCATCTCAACCCATCTCCGACCCCGAGAAACGCTCCCGCGGCTCCCGCTGCGCGGTGGAGTACCGGGCTACGAGCGTGCGGGCGATCCTAGCTCTGCAGCACCTCCCCATTCCCTCCCTGCCCCTCCCCTCCCCACCCCCTCCCCAGGCTGTCACACGCGGCCTGGCAGCGCTGGGCTCGGACCCAGGCGGGCGGTCAGCAGGCTTAGAGGCTCTGGGCAGAGGCAGGGCGAGGGCGGAGGCAGGGGCGGCTCTGGGCTGGGGGGCCGAGTAGGAACACCCAGTAGGCTGGGAGGGGCCGCGGGAGGGCAGAATCGCCAGGAGGGGCTGTGGTCCTGGTCCTGAGAACCCCAGGTCTGAAAACGTTGCCCTTTCTACCCTGAGCCTTCCCTCCGTGGACACCGAGGTCGGATTAGGTCTAAACCGACTCCTTGCGGGAGGGGTCTCCCCCGGAAACCCGCTGCCCATCTCCTCCCACCTTCCCCTTGGGCATTTCGTGTGTTCTTTTTTCCCAACTAAGGATCATTTTGCTTGGAAACAGTGAGAGGCTGGCCCAAGGTCTTGGAAGCAACAGGCAGGCAGGGCTTTGCCAAGCTGTCTCTCAAGGAGCTGTGTGTGTGTGTGTGTGTGTGTGTGTGTGTGTGTGTGTGTGTGTGGAGGGGGTGTGGGGAGGGGAGGGATAGACACTGGGGGTATCCTATCTTCACCTTCTCCGGGTTCTGAGTCCCATCCCAGGGTCTCCTGGCTTTCTCCTGGTTTCCTGAGCCATGACATGGGCTCCTGGGGTGGAGGGAGTGAGCAGAACGTACCCTAGCCTGCTGGGTCTCAGGGAACTGAGGAAAAAAGCAGGGTGCTGATTAAGCACCCCAATGAGGAGAGTGAGAGGTCAGCTTAGAAGAAAATGACAAAATCAGAAAGGAGTGCAAGGCAGAGGAATGCAAACTATTCTGAGTCCCTCCTAGAAAACTGTCACCATCAGCCCACTGCAGCCCTATTTCCAGAGGGTCCCATTTTCACACTGCTTCACTGCCTCTGTCCCAATCTGACTCCTGCCAGAAGAAGGAAGCAGGTGCTCTCAGGAAGAAATCCAGACTTTTTTTTTCTCTCTCTAACTCTGCCAGGCACTACCAGACACAGAAGAGCAAAAGGCCTACAGCCGTGCCGGAAGCAATAGATCTCATTATACAACGAAACATCCTTTGACTCTGTACCAAGTGATAGTCTAAGCAGAAAGCAAGGAAGAAATGGTTTAGATTCTCATTAAAAGCACACGTATTGCTTAATGGATACAGTTTCCTTTCGCGGTGATAAAAATGCTTTTGAACTGGATAGAGGTGATGGTTGCACAACATTACAAAGGTACTAAATGTCAATGAATTGTACATTTTAATATGATTAATAGTTAATTTTGTTATGTGAACTTTATACATAAAAAAGCACATCTATTAAATGTGAAAATTAAAGAGAGCTGAGTAAGGTTACCAGTATATTAAAATGCTGGAAAGAGTTCCAGGTGCCTTCAATAAATTAGGAAATGGTCCATCAAACTAAGATGGAATTTTATGATGAAAAGAAACAGGAGGAAGAAAACAAAGACACATAAAATACATAAGACAAAGCACAACTAGGCTTAACTAGAACAGACTAAGCTGGGTTGAGGTAGGAGAGAAAAGGTCATAAGAGCATAAATTAAACATGATTCAGCAATGAAGTGAAATTAGTAAATGAGCTAACATGATCTGGGGATGTGTTTATGGGAGCATGATTTACATGAGCCAGGAAAGTTGTCTTTTCCTGCCACTCTACTTGGCATTGATCGGGCTTTTATTGGAGTACTGTGTCCTGTTTTGGTCTCTGCACTTGGCTCTAAGGGAAATAGACAGCCTTTCAGCTAGTCACATACATCATTAGCCCACTCAAATGCGTACTAATCTGCTACAATTGGAAGCCCTAAAAAACGAAAGCTGGAAACATTCTGATGCTCTAAGACAACTCTGCTCATTTTTCTCTTGCCACGAGCTTTATTCAGCCTTCTCAGGCCATAACTTAGAGTTACACTCAGCCACAAAGACGGTGCAATGGAGCTGGTTCTCATAAACACTGGCAGCTGATAGGCAAATATCAGAACCACCCGGCTGGGCCCTGACAGGTCCCAGTCCTGTCCCCCTGTGGACACAGCTAAGCACTGGCACCGGAGCTAGGCACAAAGAAAGCTTCCACATGTGGGAAATTCCCCGGCAACCCATCTTACCCTCCTGCTGGCACAAAACCACAAGGCTGTCCTGAGGGCTACCCCTTGAAAGCCAAACATAAATTGAGGGAAAGAGAAAGGGTTTAGGTGCCTTATTGTCTGTTATGTTGCTACTTGAGGCAGAGAACCCTGAGAATCCCCAAGAATTAAGGTTTTGGCTAGAACTGTAGTGATACAGAATCTAAGGCCACAGTTACCTGGAGCAGCTGGACTCAGACGGGGACCTTTGCTGCCCTTCGTACTGCTGCACCAGAGCTCGCACACTCCAGTATGGATTCTCAATCTCCTCATCCATGCTGCTGTTCCTAAAGTCAGAGGGCACCAGCAAAGGAGAAGGTGTCAGTCCTTCAGGTCAACTCAACAAGTACCGACAGATGGCCACTCTGTGAGCGCTATGGGAAAAAAGACGAATAAGGCAAAGCCCCTCCCTTAAAGACACTTGAAACCTAGTAGGGAAGATAGACACAAAGACAAGTAATTTCGCCAATCTTGGCAACACCTCAGGGTCGTGCTCTCTCTCAGCAGACACACAAACACCGAAGCGTTTCCTGCCATGACTCTCCAGGACAGCTTGGCCTTCAGGATACATTCCAGGGAAAGACTCCCCCGGATGAATCGCAACACTGCTCCCACATATCTCCCCGTGAAAAAAACACACTGTGCCAAAGGCATATAGTTAAAATTCTGGGACCAGAGCAAACAATTACATATGTAATTCCTTTACTTTCTGCTAACTGCAAAATAAACATCTCTAAAAGGGGCTTTTCTCTTTTGGAATACCCTCTCCAACCTCCACTCCATGCTGTTTTCTGCAGGGTGGGCTGTTTAGGTGATATTTTCAACTACTGCACAGTATTATTTAAGGGAAGAAATATCAGAGAGAGTCAAGTTCCCATCCCCAGAGCTCTACCCTTACCTCTGTCTGTATCGAAAGACATCCCGTCCTGACCGTGACATGTCATGACACACATCAGCCAGAGCAGCAGCTGCTCCTTGGGCCACAGCAGTGGCACAGTGTGGTTGGTGACTCTGCGGAGGGGCTCTGGAGTCCCGTCCTTGGCTCACTGTCCTGCTAGAGCCAGGTTTGAAATGAGCTGCCAAGGCAAGGACCAGCCTCATGATAGACTTCAAGTTTCCTTCCACAATATCTGAGGGACAGAACAGACCAAGAGGCCCTAAGAGGGAGGCAGAGAGCTGAGGACTCATTCATTTAATATGTATTTGCTAGTGATGCAGGTGAGCAAGGCAGTCAAGGTCTCTGCCCTCACAAAGCCGTGTTCAGCAGGAAGACAATATTTCAAAGCAATTACAAGAAAGTACAATAACGTGTTATGTTAGAAGTACAGGATTCTCTGGGGGCTCAGAATAGAGGCATCTTGTCTTGTTTAGAAGGCTCAGGGAAGGATACCTAGAGGAAGCGAGTTCTAAGCTGAGACTTGATTGATGAATAGAGTTTCATCAGATGAGGGAAGAAAAGAAAGAGTATTCCAAGAAGAGGGAACAGCAGACATGAAGGTCTACAGGCGAGAGAGAGCATGACATACTAGAGCTGCGCTGTCCGATGTGGGAGCCACTGGCCACTTGTGGATACTGAACACTTACAAGGTAGCTATAGTCTGAATTGAAATGTGTTGTAAGTGTAGTACTTACTTAGTACACATACAAAATACAATGAAAAATATTTCATTTCAATAAATAATGAATTGAATACAACAACAACAAAAAATATTTCATTAGACTTGGTACAAAAAGTAGAAGGCAAAATATCCAATTAATAGTTGGTTTGTTTTTTATATTGCCTACATGTTGAAATGATATTTTGAATATATCGGGTTAAATAAAATGTATTGTTGGGCCGGCTGAGTGGCTCGTTGGTTAAGAGTTGGCTTTGGACACCAGCTCTGAGCTGCAGGGCCGCTGGTTCGGATCCCACATGGGCCAGGGATGCTGCGCCCTCTACAGCTAAGATGGTGAACAACAGCTCGACCTGGAGCTGGGCTGCTGTGAGTCACAGGCAATGGCGGAGGCTGCAGTGGGGCTGCAGTGGACTGCCATAAGCTACTGTGAGTGGCCGGCAGCCAGCGTGAGCGGCCGGCAGCTGGCCTGAGCCGCCATGAGTGGCCATCCAATCACCGGCGACCGGTCTGCCTCAGCCAGGAAGAGCGCAATGATCACAATACCACCATGGGCCAGTGAAGCAACGTCCTCCACAACTAGACTGAAGAACAAAAGGACAGCACTTGGTCTGTTCTTCCAATTCCCCAACGCTGTTCCCTCCCCCAATTCCTCAATAAAATCTAAAAAAATTAAAAAAAAAAATTTATTGTTCAAATTAGTTTCATCTGTTTCTTTTTTTTTTTAATGTGGCTATTAGGAACTTTTACGTTAAGCATGTGACTCACATTTTATTTCTATAGCATAGCTGTGTGGTAGAGACACTGAAGGAAGTTGGGCATAGCTAGAGCTCAGAGTCCAGGAGGAAAGTGTGAAAGACGAGGGGGATGAATCAGAGGTCAGGTCAGAAAGGGCATGGTAAGCCACAGGAAGGACTCAGATACAGAGGACTGGCAGGAGCTTATACATGTACACTTAGAAAGATCATTCTGGCTTCAGTGTGGAGAGCAGATGGGAGGGGGACAAAAATCAATGCAGTGGCACTAATCAGGAAGCTGTTGTCCTTTTCCAGGTAAAAGACAATGATGTCCTGGGTGGCAGTGTTCCCTCAAAATAGCTGACTTTAATGGGCCAGATCCCCAAGCCCACTCCTCATGGGGACCGGATGAGAGATATTATTGTATTCTAAATTTTGCCCTAGAAAAAAAAAAGAGGAATGCAGGCAGAAAACAATGTGATAGGTCTGGTGAAAGTTCGTGCAAGGAAATAGGTAAAATCCGATTTTTTTGTTTTATTAAAACCTTTTGTTTAAAGCCTTTTAAATACACAAGGCTTTCAAAAGGATTCATTGATACACCTTCTACAAGGTGCTCTCAGTGGTCAGTATCTGCCCCACCTGAATGTCTCCAACACAGAGAACATCAATAATCTAACACAAAAGGAGTGTTCCCTCTGCCCCCATTCTCATCAGAGCCACAGGCAATCAGGCCCAGAAACTGAAGCTGAAACAGAACCAGACTGCAATCCATTCCAGAGAAATGGCGGGAGGACTAGAGAGCCTGTGTTCTCTGAGGACACCTACCCCCTTTCTTCCTTGCAGCCTGAGCTCAAAATAGACTGAGAAGTGTCCTCTTCTGGCCATGTGGCTATAGGAGAGGGCATATGCAGAGCTCACAGAGCCCTTTTTATCCTGACTGGGATGTTCTTTGATGTAAAAAAAAAAAAAGCTAAAAAATATGTTCTTTCTGGAAAACTGGATGGAAAAAAATGTAGGCTATTATGATTTGAAATAATTCTTGGTCATGAAACCCTAGAAACTTGAAAAACATAATCTATCCTCATTACTGATAACTTATATGAGACACTCTAAAATTAATATCACAATTTTGTAATTTCTTCTCTATCAGTTGTCCTACACACACTCAAGCAAACCTTTATTCAATTAAAATAAATAGAGGAGTTCTACCTTCACCCAGGTTTCCAAAGCAGTCAGATTTTGATAATCACTCCGTCCCGAATGGATAACTTTATGGAAAAAAAAATGACTTCATCCTACTCCTGTCTATCAGAAGGCTCAGCTACACAACCGATGGTTCTTCTGAGGGTGGCAATTACTAGCTAAAGATGAGTGTACTCATCCACCAAGAACTTGAAGAGGCACTGACCTTTAGCTGAAGTCTGGTGCATACGAATCTTTTTGGAGGCCACAAACTGTAGCACCTTCTCCACATTATTCTTCATTTCTTGTTGGTTGCTAGGACTCAGCTGTACCCCACTCAGCTTTTCTCCTGCTGTTAGAAAAGGGAAAAATATATGAAATTATAGGAATATTATGAAAGTCTCATAGTAGCCAGACACAGAGAAAGGGAATATTTGATGTAAAGACTGAGAATATACGTATATAAATATGCAAGTGAGAAAAGCATTGGTATTTGTAATTTGGATGGAGAATAGGAAAATGAAAGCCTTTTGGAGGGCTTTCAAATTTTCAAGTCTATTCCCAAGGGCCTGTGATGTTACTGTGTGTACATTTATTTATTCAACAAATATTCACTGAGCACCCAACTGTGTGCCAGGCACTGTTCTGGGGACCAGAGAAATAGCAGAACAAGACAGACAAAGCTCTTTCCATCATAGAGTTTCTACCTGCAGCGATGACAGCTAACCAAGTTAACGAGTAAATGCTTAATATAGTTTCAGGTAGTGATAAGTGTTCTGAGGAAAAACACAGAAGAGTGATCATGGCCTCTCTGATAATACATTTGAGCAAAGACTTGAATAAAGTAAGAGATGTTAAGATTTGAGGAGGAAACATTTCAGACTAAGAAATTACAGGTACAAACCCCAAGGAGGGGATGAGCTCAGCTTATATGAGCAACAGCAACAAGACCAGTGAGGGGGGAGTGGAGAAAGAGAGGCGTCAAGTCCTAGGAGAAGGTAGAGAAGTAAGCGAGGCCAGGTCATGTAAGGTTCCGTGGACCACAGTAAAGAGCTGGAATTTTATTCTAAGTGTAATGGGCATCCAATGGAGAGTTTGAGGTAAGGGCGTTGCATGGTATGATTTATGTTTTTAAAACTGGACTCTATGTGGACATAGGTTATATGGAGAGGAAACAGGGAGATTAATTAGAAAGAAAATGAAAATAGTCAAGGCAAGAGATAATGATGGTTTGGGCTAGAGTGGAAGAGGCTGCCAGGTGAGAAGTCAGATATAAGGTACATCTTTAACATAAAGCAGAGAGCACATGTGAAGCACTGGATATGGTACATGAGGAAAACAGAATGATTAAGGGCAACTTTTAAGTGTTCTGCTTTAAGAGCCGGGTGGATGGTACTCTGATGCATTACTTAGATGAAGACACCTGGAGGATAAAGGGATTAATGGGGAGAAGGAAACTAAAGTTCTGATTAGGACATGTGAAATTAGAGTTGCATTTTAGACATCTAAGTGGAGATGTTGAGTAGGACGTTGATATGCATGTCTAGAACTCAAAGGAAAGATTAGGGCTAAAGATATAATATATACAGGGAAGGGATCACTTAGGGATAGAGAATACACAACCGTTTATGACTGAACTTGGAGAACTTCAACATTCAGAGGTCAGGAAGAAAGAGAAAAGCCAGCAAAGCAAACAGGGAGCCAGTAAGGAAGCAGGAAAACTAAGTCCTCAGGGTCCTGGAAACCGGGTAAAGAAAATGTTTGGTTGCCTTTTGATTTTTTTTTATGGTTTCTTTTGTTGTGCAGAAGCTTTTTAGTTTGATGCAGTCCCATTCATTTTACAGGATGAGCGGATAAAGATGTGGTACATGTATATTATGGACTACTACTCAGCCATGGAAAAGATTAAATATTGCCATTTGCAACAGCACGGATGGATCTTGAGAGTATTATGCTAAGTGAAATAAGTCAGAAGAAAAAGAACAACAACTGTGTGATTTCACTCATATGTGGGACATAAAACAAAAAACAACAAACAAACTCATAGATACAGACAACAGAATGGTGGTTATCAGAGGGAGAAGGGGTTGGAGGAGGTACAGGAGGTCAAATATGTGGTGACTGAAGGAGGCTAGACTTCAGGTGGTGGGCACACAACAGCGTATGCAGATGTGGCATTACAAAGGAATACAGCTAAAACTTATATAATGTATTATTAACCAGTGTCACCCCAACAAATTTTTTTTAAAAAGTGTTTAAAGGAGAAGAGAGTGATTAACTATCAAATTCTGTTAAGTTGAATAAAATGAAGACTGAGGCCCAGCCACTGGATTTCACAAGGCAGAGGTTGTGACCTTGGGAGACTGGTTGCAGTAGAGTAGTGGGATCAAAGCCTAATTGAGGGCATGTTAAAGGATGAATGGGAAAAAAGGAAGGGAATTCAGTGAGTTTTTTTAGACAGCAGTCACAATAAAATGTAAAAAAAAAACATGGGTTTGGGGAAAACAAGAATACATATTCATATTGCTTGAATATGCATAGAATATCTTTGGAAAGAAATGCAAACACTGCTAACGTTGGTTGCCTCCAAAAAGAACAAGTAGCTGACAGAGGCATTTGGTTGGAAAAAAGGCTTTGACTTAATATCCTTTTGCATTTTCTGGATTTTTTTTACCTGATTATATTTCCAAGTATAATCTATTCAAATAAGTGAAAAATTAAATGTTTAAAATGAGCTTTGAATTATAGCACATCCAGGTTTGTACCTCTGCTCTGCCACTTACCGTTATGTGATCTTGTAAAGTTGCTTAGCCTTTCTAAACCTCATAAAATGAGTAAGATAGTGGTTCTTAAAATCATACTATGTCATAAACCAATCAATCAAAGCAGCATACTTAGCAAAATGTTTGATATATTTTAAGTACTCAATGATTTTATTTATTTTTATAAATCTCTTTAAAGCTTGTTTCATGACAATGAGGATATTATCTGTTTCTCAAGGGTTAACGACTAAATGAAATTACACGAGATAGAAAGTGTTCAATATTACTATTACCATTGTTATTATCATTATAAATGAATCCATGAGCTGTCCCAGTGAGGTACTCACATATAGTCTTCTGGTAGCAAACCTGGCTTCTTCCATACCACTTGCAAGCCCCACATCCCTCAAAGACTCTAAGCAACGTCAGTTGACTAATATAACCATCAATGTTTGAGTACCTAGTATGTGCCAGGCACTTGGGTAGAAGTTGTGGAAACAAAAAAAAATTATACTGTACCTTCTCTTAAAGAGTTCAGTCTACTCAGGAGAGAGCATTCGGTGAATGGAATATAATAACAGCTATGGACAAATGCTATGAAAATAAGGTTACGGTACCACCTAATAAGAATGGCCGGCAACAACTCCAGGGGTTCTTTTGCAGGTAACACACCTTCTTCTTGCCTGGCTATTACTTCCTTTTCTAGCCTCGTTTCAGACATCAATTATTTTGGCAACCCACTCCTGAAGCCCTAAAGCTGGACTGCATGATCCGCACCCCACCCCACCCCCGCCAATGTGCTCCTATCTATACTTACCCCATCAGAATACTAAGTACACTAATAGACAATAGAAATGATTTCACTTTCCAGTCCTTCCAACTAGATTGGGAGACTCTTGGGAGCATACACTGTGCTCATCATCATATTCCGAAAGCATATACAGTGCCTGGCACACAGTGTTTATTGACTAATAAATAAATGAATTAACCTTGGGCAAGTGTTTTAAGTCTATTTCCATATATATTTTAAAGAACAAGCAATCTTCTCTGAAGGGCATATGGAAGATAAAGAAGGCCATGTTCTCATTTACAATAGCATCAGGGTCCAGGGCCAACTGACCAACAATCTCGATGAGATATGCCAGGATCACCCCATCCCGAAGATCCTGTCGCAGGTCCTGCACAGGCTTCACCGCTGGCCTCTTCTTCAGCTGTGCATTCACCCAGGCCACATATGCCTGCAGCTGTTGCTAAAAAATGAAAGGTGGAAATAAGGGAAAAGTGGCATATTATTCTTAACCTCTACCCTGCACCCTCTAAGGCAGCATTTGAGATTGAACTATGGTGGGCAATCTATATCCAAGGAAAGAGAAGGTTTTAAGGAAAGAAAAATGAATGATGGTCAGACATGGAGCATGTTCTAAAATTCTCTAGTTTTATCCTGGTCTCCAAGGATAAGCTCACCCCTGACTTGTGTGGCAATGTACACACAGATAAGCAGACCAGTGTTTCAATGACTAAGACTCCTACTGTCCTTGAGTTTTGCTCTATTGACCAGGAATGAGGGCTGGGCCAAGAACCACAGCCAGTTTTTGGGCGTAATCACTGCTGCCAGCAATCCATCATGCTTCTCAGGGGCAATCATTTATGTCCTATATGCACAATCGACTCTGATACTCATAAGAATTGATCTTGGAGAAATCAGGAATAAACAGTAAACCAAGCTCAGAACAGCCTCTCCCATAGCTGCTTTCTTCACAATAAGACTTAACTGAAATGATCTCACACTCAACCTAAAATTTATTCTCCTGAACCCATAATCCTGGGATTGCTACAGAGTTCATTTTAATCTGTGCTTTATATCGTCAGGGAAGATCTGGTCACTTAAAACCTGCACAGAGAAGAAAAAGGAAAGGCTGTGGTGAGCAGTTTTCTTTTTCTTTTCTTTTTTTTTTTTTTGAAGATTTTATTGGGAGAATTGGGGGAGGGAACAGCATTGGGGAATCAGGGAAGGGGAACAGACGAGTTGCTGTCGTTTTTGTTCTTCAGTATAGTTGTGGAGGACATCGCTTCACTGGCCCATGTTGGTATTGTGATCTTTGGGCTCTTCCCAGGTGAGGCAGATTGGTCACCGGCCATTGGACAGCCACTCACAGTGGCTCACAGCAGCTCACGCTGGCTGCTGGCCACTCACTGTAGCTTACGGCAGCCCACTGCAGGAGGGGCTGCAGCCTATACCATGGTGGGCAACTCAACAGCATTCCAGCTAAAGGTCGAGCTGTTGCTCACCATCTTAGCTGTAGGGCAGTGTCACTGGCCCATGTGGGATCCGAACCGGCGGCCCTGCTGCTCAGAGCTCACGCTCCCAAGCCAACTCTTAACCAATGAGCCACTTGGCTGGCCTAGGAGTGCTCTTGAGGACTGGTGAAAGGTGGTGGGGGGAGGGGGGGGGCGAGGAACTTCCATTTATTTTCAGACAAAGCCAGGGCCCAGTATCATCAGAAACCTGTTAGGCCCAGGTAAGGACACATAACTCATCCCAATGCTCAGACAGCCTACATATTCCATTTGTCCCTTAAACAGAGCTTGTATGCGGGTATTTGTTCTGATTATTTAGTCTGGGGATGGGCACTAAATGCCAAAATAGCACATGAACAATGTCATACATAATACAGGCAGCAGCTCTGTCTGGTTTCTGTAGAAGCCCAGGGCCCTGAACCTAAAAATTAAGTTCAAGGGCTAATAGTATTACGTTATAATTGGATTAAAGTACAGTTGATTTCTCAGCCCCAAGTACTTCCTTAATAAAATGATATTGGAAATTACTCACTGGCTGCTTCCTCAGCTTAAATTAAATCTTCATTGTTTTCTCTATGTTGATTTGTGGGAATAAATAAAATCCTTTGGAAGATAGTACGAAGACAATAATTATCAGCTACTGACAAACTATAGGAAATGTAGTGATCGGCAGGAGGTGGAGGGAGGAATCTCATATTTACTGAGTACCTACCGTGAACTAAACACTATTTTTGGTGTTTTATACATGGTTTTTGTTTTTGTTTGTTTTTTTTTTTTTAGCTGAGCTATCCTGCTACCTGTAGGCAGCTCAGCGGCTGCTCAGCTCGGGCTGGACTCGAACCGCTGTTGCTCAGAGCTCAAACTCTTGAGCGAGCTCTTAACCAACTGAGCCACTCGGCCGGCCCTATACATGTTTTAATGAGCTAATGAACATACCTAGAACAGGGCTACCACACAATTGATGCTTATTAAATGGTCATTATTATTTTACTCATTATCATCATCTAATTCAATTCTCACAAAAGCACTAACGGATCGGTATCATCTCCGGTCTATGGATGAGGTTCAGAGAGGTTACGTAATTTCTCCAATGTCCCCATAGTTAGGACAGAGCAGACCTGGTATTGAAACATAGTAAATGTGGTCCAAGCATTGACCAAGGGCCTCTTGCTATCCAACTCCTTCCATAAAATAGAGGTGGCTGCTCTTTCTGCCTAACACGGGCCAGACTCCCATCCAAGGTGTGCTCCCACTGCACAGCCAAAGCACTGTGTGAGGCAGACCAGACAAAGGGCGCTTCCACTCTGCTCTGCTGAGAAGGAGTTAAGACCAGAAAAGGGGCGAAGGGTAACTGCTGGGATCTGATTACCTGGCTGATGTATAAGAACTCCTAACCGTGTGTAAAAAAAAACCTCCTAACCAATCTCCCTGTAGCTAATATCACTCTCACCACACTCTCTACACACTCCTGATTAAAATCCTTCACTGGCCTCTCGTGATCCTCAAGATAAAATCCAACATCCTTAGCTGCATTAGAGTCTGTCATGTGCTAGCTCTTGCCACTGCTCCAGCTCCTCTCACTACTCTCCATATGCCCCCTCCTCATGCTTCAGCTCATCCAAACCATATATGGTGCCCCGAATCTACCCCATTCCAGCCACTCAGCCTCCCACTGCCTACCATCTCCTTGTAAGTCTTAGCTCAAGCATCACCTTTTCCAGGAAGTCTTCCCTGACCCTCCCACACACCTCAGACTCTGATCTCCTTGAGGATGGCCTGTCACACAAATATAATAGTTCAACAATAATTTGAGTGCAGGTGCTGTACTAAGTTATGGGGTTACAGAGAGGCTTATGCTTGAATGGAAGAAAAGGGAAGACAAAAGAAATAGTTTTACTTTGTTATGAAGCCTTGCTCCACTAATCAATTTCTATAGTCTAATTGCATTGGCTAATACTTCTGGTACAATGATGGACTAGAGATAGTGGGCATCCTTCCCTTGTTTCTGGACTTAGAGAAAATACTCGTAATGTTTCCCAATTTAGTAAGTTCCTGGTTTTAGAACTAAGGTATATCTATTATCTCATTTTAAGAAAGTATCTGGGCCCGCTGAGTGGCTCAGCTGGTTAAGAGTGCGAGCTCTGGGCAATCGATGGTTCAATTCCCACATGGGCCAATGAGCTGAGCCCGAGCTGAGCTGCCACTGGGCTGCCAACAGGTGGCAGGATGGCTCAGCTGGCGAGAGCACGTGCTCCTAACAGCAAGGTTGCCTATTGGACTACTGAATGGGATGGTGGGCTATGCCCAGCCCCACCTGCAACTAAGATTGAACACGGCACCTTGAGCTCAGCAGCCTCAAGCTGCTGACAGGCAGCCGGATGGCGATTGGACTTGGAGCTGAGCTAGCTGCGCCCTCCACAACTAAGACTGAAGGACAACAACTTGGCTGTTCCCCTTCCCCAATTCCCCAATAAAATCTTAAAAAAAAAAAAAAAAAAGTATCCATCAAGTCTTATTTTCTTCACTGTTTTTATGAGGGGTGAGTGTTGAATTTTGAAAGTTTTGTCAGTATTTATAGAGATAATTTTATGATTATTTTCCCTGAGACTTATTAATATACTATAGGATATTAATGGACTTCCTAATCAGAAACCTACCTTGCATTATTGGAATTAAACCCGCCTGGTCATAGTGAATTATATTTTTAATGTGGTGTTGGATTCTATTCGTTAATAAAATATTTACTACTGCTACATTAGTATTACACATGTAGCACTTCCTCATAAGTATTCATAAATATTAGTCTATAATTTTCTTTTTTGCATATATATATCATATATATGTATTATCATATATAAGTATTTATCATATATAAGTATTAATATTATCTTTGCTTCATGTGAAGAAGTAGGAAGTTTCTCTTCATGTTCAATACTAGAAAATAATTTATAGAGTTTTGAGACTATCTGATATGTGGAGATTTGGTAGAATTGCCCTATGAAATAACCTGGGCCTGGAACTTTTTTTGAGAAATAGTTCCTTAATAAGCTTCTCTATTTCTTCTACAAAAATTTCTGTTTAAATTTTATGTCTCTATCCATTTTGATAATCAGAATTTCCCAAGGAAATTATTCATTTCGTCAAATTTTTTTTTTAAAGATTTTATTGGGGAATTGGGGAAGGGGAACAGCCAAGTTGTTGTCCTTCGATCTTAGCTGTGGAGCACGCAGCTCAGCTCAGCTCCAAGTCCAGTCGCCACCTGGCCACCCATCGGCAGCTCGAGGCCACTCAGCTCAAGGTGCAGTGTTCAATCTTAGTTGCAGGTGGGCATAGCCCACCATCCCATGTGAAAGTGGAACCAGAAACCTTGTTGCTAAGAGTGCATGCTCTAACCACTGAGCCAGCCAGCCAGCCACCGGCAGCTCAGCTCAAGGTGCCGTGTTCAATCTTAGTTGTGGGTGGGCATAGCCCACCATCCCATGCAGGAGTCGAACTGGCAACCTTGTTGTTTAGGAACATGTGCTCTCACCAGCTGAGCCATCCTGCCACCTATTGGCAGCTCAGCAGCAGCTCAGCTCGGGCGCAGCTCACTGGTCCATGTGGGAATTGAATCGTCGACCATGTTGCTCAGAGCTCGCACTCTTAACCAACTGAGCCTCTCTGACGGCCCTCATCAATGTTTTAAAATAGACCTGCAAAGACTCTTATAAATTTTTGTTTCATTGGTTACTTTGCCATTATCATTTCTTTTTTTTTGTCTCTTTGTGCTTTCTCCTTTTTTCTTCTTTATCGTGTTAGTACTTTGTCTATTTTGATAATATTTTTTAAAAGTCTTTTAAAAAATGCTTTCAAGAATTATTGCTGTTCTGGCCTAAGTACCTCTAAAACCATGATACCTAAAACCAAACACAATTCTCTGGCTATAAAACCAGACACTTAGCTTTCTCATCCA